AGACCTGCAAGATGCCTACAGTAACCCTGACCCCTCGCCCACCGCCCCACCACCTGCTGAAGGCACTGGATTATCACTCCAGTGCCTCAGAAAAAGACATAAATAAAGGAGGGAAAAGGAACATAGGGAATAGACAATACCTTAACAGTTGTACACAAATTAGGGTATTCAAAGCATCTTCATACATATTATTTGATCCTTTCACCCATCCTTGGGGACAGGCAGGGCACACATTTTTCTCTCGTTCCCAGTTGAGGGAAAGCTTGCTGTGCACCAGTATTGACAGTAAGTGGTAAATGCAATTGTGAGTGACCCACAACTTCTTCAAGTCTGGTTTCTTCACCTGAAAACCGAGGGCAGTGTGACTGAGTGTCCCTGAAGATCCCTCCTTCACGCTTTGCTCATGATTGCCAGACTAGTAAGGTAGAGCTGTCCAAAACAGCCCTCTGGATTTGGGAAGGGTGGTTCTTTCCTTACGATATGTGCTTATGATAATGGAGACTGGACCCAAGTGATGCATTTACAAAATGAAGTCCCAATGCCCAACTGAAATGAACAGACTTTTTTGTTTATTTGTTTTTGAGACAGGATCTCACTATGCAGCCTAGGCTAGTGATGAACTCAGCATCCACCTGCCTCAGCCTCCTGAGGGCTGGGATTACAAGTGTGCACTACCACACCCCACTTAACAAACAAAATCTCAACAGTGGTCTCGTGGTGATGCTAAGATTCTTCTTATGCTTTAATTTTTTTTTAACCCGTGCTTAATTTCTTCCTTTTTCTCTAAGTATCCTTAAAATGACTCTTACTTTTTTAAAAATATTTTCCTCCTCTCTAAATATAATTTTACAAAGAAAATATTTTTAATAAAAGGTTTAAAATGTTCTAAGTCTGTTTAATTATGTAGGAAACTTAAAAATTAAGGCAATATCTAACTGTATGAATTCTGGAATATGGAAAACTATTCAAGATGATAAACTATTCTAGACAATAAAAAGATCAGTGGTTGCTAGGGTGTGGAGGGGGAGAAAAAGATGAATACATGGAGCACACAGGATTGTTAGGGCAGCGAAAACTATTCTGTATGGTATTCACTAATGGGGGGTATAAATCACTATGCACTTGTCAAAATCATAGAATGTACAACATCAAGAATGAACTCTAATGTAAACTAAGGACTTTGAGTGACAATATGTCAATATAGGTTTGAATGTATCAAACATACCACTCTGGTGTAGGACTGTCAGTGGGGGAGGATGTGCCTGTGTAGGACAAGAGGCATATGGGAACACTGTATTTTCAACTAACTTTTGCTGTGAATCTAAAACTGCTCTAAAAAATACCATCTATTGAAGTTGGGAGTGGTGGTGCTTGTCTATAATCCCAGCACTTAGGAGACTAAGGCAGGAGGATCTCAAGTTCAAGGCCATCCTGGGCTACATAACAAATTACACAGCAAGACAATCTCTCTCTCACAAAAACAAAATGAAACAAACAAAAAAACGGTCATTTAGGCTAACTTGAATATGTTTTTGGATCATGGTCACTCGTATTTAGCTCAGAATGAAAAATTATTTCCTTAAAGCAGGTTGAGATTTTACATGGACATTATACAAGATGGAAATTTTAGGCATAAAGCAAATGAATTTCTTAGGTGGCTACTTCTTTGCAAACTGCACAGAGTATGTAACTATATTGAGACTTAAAGTTCTTAGCATAAAATATTTTGATACTTAGAACTCTGGTTTTATATTATACATAAAACTTGAGAAACAAATTAAGCATGGAAGATGAAAAGTCTATTAAAGATATTAAAACAGTTGGTGGAGTGGCTCAAGTGGTAGAGTGCCTGCCTAGCAAGCATGAGGCCCTGAGTTCAAACCCCAGTATCACTAAAACAAAACAAAAAAAAGATATTAAAAAAAATATACTAGAGAATTAAGAGTCAGATTTGGAAATTAGACTGTTTGGGCTCCAATCTAATTCACAGGCTACTGAGTGGCCTTAAACAAGAGTTTTAACCTCCAAGGCCTCAGTTTCCTCAACTATATAACTGAAGGAAATTACAGTACCTACTTTACTAAACTAGTCTGAAGATTTAATGAGAATCATACAAAGCAGTTAGCATAGTGCCTGGAACATCGGGGACACTAATTTTTAGCTATTATTATTATTAGAAATTTTTAATAAAAAAATAGTTAAGAAAAGGGTTTCAACTTTCTATGTAAGTTTTAGAGCCCCAGAAAACTCCTAAAGTAGACAGGGACTTGTTTTAGTGTTAGCATACACTGACCTTTTCTTCCTAAAATGTTACTCACTATGATATACACACTATCTTTTTTACTCTAATAAATGAGTACCCATAACCAGAAAAAAATTTTGTTCTCTGTACCAAAGGTAGAGAGATCAGCTGTCCAAGACTGGAGTTTCTGTATGCCTGCACAATTTCTGTCTGTTACCTGGCCTTTAACCAAATCTACTGATACCTCCCCACCCTGAATCTCAGATTCATTTGGTTCATGAAGGCAACTGTTCTCCAGCCCTTTTTTTCTGAGATCCAGGCCTTTGTATCCAACTGCCTTCTTGACATCTTTACTTAGCTATCTCAAAGGGACATCAAGTCCAATTTGCTGAGTTAAGACTGTGGGCATGGCTCAAGTGTGAGGCCCTGAGTTCAATCCCTAGCATTGCCAAAGTTAAATTTACAACTCTCCACTTCTATCCCAGTCCTCCAGTTTCTCTGACTTCAAAGAATGACCCATAACCCATGCATATGAACAAGCTAGGAACTCAGGAATCATGCTAGATTACTCTCCTTTACTCCCCAGACAATCCCATCAGCCAGTCTGAGTCATTCTACCTTTTAAAATATTGTTAGAATCCCCGTTCTAAGGCTCTTGACCTCCAGTGAGTTCAAGCCATCATAGTGTCTTATTAGGACTTCTGCCACAGACTCCTAGCTGGTCTTCCTGCAACCTTTCATCCTTCTTCCACAGTATAGCTTGAGTGTCCTTAAAACCCTAATCCAATCCCTTCACCATCACTAATACACCAATGTCTTCTCACTGGAAGCCAATATAAAGGTATATATGTTATAGAACTCTGGCCCAGGACACCTGACTTGGGACACCTTGCTTACAGTTAACTTACTGTGTTCCTGCTATGACACTATCTTTTTCATGACCAAATAACCTTACTTTTGTTTCTAAGAAAAGGAGACTGGATTACTTTGATTACTGGTAACTATAAAACAACTCATATAGTTTAGGAGGTGGAAACTGGATTTTTTAATACAAACTTCTCAAATATCCACAAACTGGGATACAATCTTTAAAAAAGATGTGCTGAAGGACATCTAGGAACCAGGTAAGACCTTGAAAATGGGGTTGGCCAAATATAAGCTGTGGGCAAAATCCAGCCTGCCATTTGTTTTTATTAAAAAAAATTTATTAGAACACAGAAAAATTAATTTGTTGTTATGTTAATGTCATTTGTACTACAGCAGCAGAGTTGAGTAGTTACAGCAGACTGTATGTCTTGCAAAGCCTACAATATCCAGCCTTTACCAACTTACCAGAAAGAAACAGTTGGCTACAGAAAAAAATGCTCTAAAGGTTTTCAACCCAGGAAATCTTTAGAATGTTTAGAACCTTGAGAATCACCTCAGGGTCCTGTCATTTCTTCATCAACAAGTTCATTCCTGTTGCTCTAAATGAAGTACAAAATAAGTTTATCATTACACCTATATTCCTTTTTGAGAGATAAAGAACTCTTAGCAAACCAGACTTCCCACATCCGCCAGGGCATATGAATTTGCTCTTTATCGCTTCTTGCCTACCTTTGTGCCTACTGCGTAATTCATTTTAGGAAAGCAACAGCCTCCTCAACCACTTTTAAGCTGGGCCACAGCATTTCTCCTGCTGACTATGTCTGCCTTCAACCTAATCCAAATGCTCTTCACTTGCTTTGTTCTTAGGCTTTCTTTTCTATGGAAGTGAGGCATTCGGATAGAGAAAAGGAAGGAAGGGGATAAAACATTTTGCATTCCTTCCTATTTCCAGAAAAGAAGAAACTTTAATTCCCTTGCCCACCTTGGGCTTCTTCAGCTTTTCATTCCATGAGCCTATTTGCACCTCCACAAGAAGAGTGATTGATTAGTAAAAGTCCGGGACACTCAATGGCCTAAATTTTTATCAGGACTGGTGCCTGAGTACATGTGCTATGGTTAACTATGTCCTTCCTGATAAGTCAGGTCTGTTTTCAAACCTGGCAGAATTACACTGGGAGGCAGAGGAAAGCCTCCACTGTGACTCCTTTTTTGACTTTTTGGTGGTACTGGAGTTTGAACTCAGGGCCTTGTGCTTTCTAGGTAGGCACTCTATCTCTTGAGCCACATTCTCTGCCCTTTTTGCTTTAGTTACTTTTCAGACAGAGTCTCCTATTTTTGCCCAGGCCATACTGGATGACGATCCTACTACCTACCACTTCTTGCATAGCTGGAATCACAAACACATGCCCCCATGCCCAGCTTATTGTTTGAGATGGGGTCTGCTAACTTTTTGCCCACATGGCCTTGAACAGAGATTTCAACCTCTCTTGATTTCTACCTCTCAAGTAGCTGGGATTATAGGCCTAAACCACCCTACTGGGCTTGTGATTCTATGTTTTGTTCCACAAATGACAGGTGTACAGACTCACATCATGGCATACCTAAATATTTCAACAGTGATTGAGGAGGCAATAGTGAACCCTAGAGCTTACCTGCCAGAAGTACCCTAGTGCTCAAGAAAAGCACAGTTGTTACAGTCTCCCTCCCTGTCCTGCTTCCCCTCCCTTCTTCCCTTCACCCTTCACCTCCTCCACCTCCAGTGCTGGGGATTGAACCTAGAGCCTTGCACATGCTAGGCAAGCACTCTACCACTGTGCTATCTTCCAAATTCAGGTCCTAAATCTTAATCAAAGAGGCTATGACCTTAAATCAACCTTAGGGACATCTTTATCTTCTCATTTTATAATACAGTAATGTCTCTCACTTTACTAATTTTCAAAGCATATCATTACCTTTTTACATATATACACAAATACTTTTAAACATAAATATCAAATTCAGGAAAATCAGACACACAGGTAAATTTAGGAAGCCAAGAGCGTGGAAGAAAAGGCCGGTCACCAGATTTTATAAATGATCATCTGAACTCCTTTGGCCATTCAATTTGACATATCATCCCAAATATATTATGTTGCATGGTCCACAAGGTCTTCCTTTGGGATTGTGAAGCAATCAATAGCCATACTTGTCATTAAGATGGGTTCTGCCATCTCCACTTTGGCCTAGATCAAAATATTAAAGAAGAAAAAAATATATTTATTCTTCCAAAATAAGAGGGAAAAAATATTAGTAGGCCAAAAGTAAAACAAGTGGGGTTTATTTCTTCTATGGCAGAAATTTTGCTTTTTGTATATAGTTTCAGAATAAAGTTCTTTTCACTTCTACCCTCACATTTGTTAGCTTGAGCAAACCTTTCTAGTAATTATATTTCTATTAATTACTAGTATCTTAAAAAACAGCATCCATAGAAAAAGCAACATGTGATGTGCAAAGGAGCAATCAGGATCTCATACATTGCTGTTAAATGTGTATGTGTGAGCACAAAACCAGCACAATCTGTATACAGTGCAATTTGACTATCTTGAAAATGATCATAGCATGTTAACTCTTTTTTTTTTTTTTTTTGCGATGATGGGGCTTGAATTCAAGGCCTACACCTGAAGCCACTCCACCAGCTCTGTGATAGGTTTTTTTGAGATCCAGTCTCAGGAACTATTTGCGTGGGCTGGCTCCATACCACAGTCCTCCTGATCTCTGCCTCCTGAGTAGCTAGGATTACAGGCCTGAGCCACTGGTACCCAACTTAGCATGTTAACTTCTATTAGCTTCTTTTCTACAGATGCACCTCAATACTTTATATATTATATGTATTACAGAATTACATATGTTAGAGGTTGCCTATTACAGAGTTGTTTGCAATGGCAAAAGACTGGAAACAGCCCAGGAGCTAGTGGCTCACACCTGCAATCCTAGCTAGTTGGGAGGCAGAGATCAAGAGGATCGAGGTTCAAGGCCAGCCTGGGCAAAGAGTGAGACCCCATCTCAAAAACAGCCAATGCAAAGAAGGGCTGGCAAAATGGATGAAGTGGTAGAGTACCTGCCTAGTAAGCATGAGGTCCTGAGTTCAAACTCCAGTATCAACAAAACAAACCCCAGAAACAAAAAACACCCCGAAAAACTGGAAGCCAGGCAAATAATCCACTGAGGAGATTGTTTAAATAAGTAAAAGTCTAACTATACCATAAAAAACAACTATGCTGCCACTTAGCTGGGTGTGGTAGTGCACAGCTGTAATCCTAGCACTTGGGAGACTGAGGCAGGAAGATGAAGGATTGTGATTTCAAGGTCAGTCTGGCTACATAGCAAGACCATGTTTCAAAAAAACTCCCTATGTTGACATTTAAAAAAAATCTATAAAGAGCTATTTATGGATTTGATCTCTATATTGTGCTAAGTGAAAAGCAAGAGTAGAAAATGCTTCTCTCTGTGTAGAAACGGTGGTGAAAAGCATTTTATATAGTATATAAGAATTAATAAGAAAACAATCTTTGGCTATCTTTAGAGGGCCAAAAAAGTGAGTAGCAGAGGCACATACTAAAGATTTTTTTCTGTTTTAAATACATGCAAAAGTAAATAGAAAAATATAATGAACCCTCATCCAGCTATTACAATTATCACTATAGGGCAAATCCTGCTTTACCTAGTTTTTTGCTAGTTTCTCTCATCCTTCACCACTAGATTATTTTACTGTAAATCTCAGGCATCATTCCATCTGTGGACACTTCTGTATATGTGCTGAGAATATAAGAACTTTTCCCAAAAAACATAATTCAACATCATTCATATTTTTAAAAATCAACAATAATTTCTTAGTATCATCAAACATTCAGGTAGCGTTCAACATTATCTGACTGGCTCATACTTTTAATTTTTTTTTTTTTGTGGTACTGGGGATTGAACCCAGGGCCTCCAGCCTCAAGCAGGCTAAGCAAGAACTCTCTCACCATATCCTGAGCCCTCAGAACACACACACATGGTAATATACATTTACATAAACAAACAGTTGTCTGAGTAAGGATTCAAATAGGATCCACAAATTATAAGATGTGGCTGATGTGTCTCTTAAGATCTTTAAATCTACCTGTTCTACCAAAAGAGAGATCTTTCACTACATTCTCTTGCAATTTTCTTTCTCTTCTCTCTTTTTTCTTTTGGCAATACTGGGATTTGCTAGGCAGGTTTTCTACCACTTGAGCCACAATGCCAGCCCTTTTCAGCCCGTTTTTTTGTTTTTTTTTTTTTGAGAAAGGGTCTCATTATGGAGCCTTGGCTGGCCTCAAACTCTTGATCTTCCTGAATGGTGGAATTACAGACTTGTGCCACCATGCCTAGCTCTCTTTGGACCTTAAATATGTATCACCTATTTAAAAATATAAAGAAATGTTAGAGAAAAGGAAAAATAAAAACAATATACCTTCAGGTGGGACCCACACACAGTAGTCTGGGTCATCTTCAGGATATTTGGAAGAAAGTGTGGGTGGCAACTACAAAGAAAAGGAAAAAGATAAATTATTTTACTTGAATTTTTTTTTTTTTTTTTTTTTTTGAGATAAGGGCTCATCAGGTAAACTAGGCTGCCCTGGAAATTTTCAATCCTCCTGCTTCAGCCTCCTGAGTGCTGTGACAGGATCACTACCATACCTGGTTCAAAGAATTTCAACTCTGAGAATTGTTATCCTTAGGCCTCTCTGCAAATGAAAACTAAGAGAAAGCAGTTTCCATGAATGGTCTTGACATTAGGAATGAATCTGGGGGAACATTCTCTTTCTGAGTCTTGATTTTTTTCTCATAAAGCCTCAATAAGCTGATTTTTTAGCCAGAGTGATATAATGGTCTTTAAAAGAGGTGGCAACAGCAGGCTGAGGGAGAAGGATTCCAAGTTCAAGGCCAGCCTGGGCTAATAGCAAGACCCTATCTTAACAACCTCCCTGCAAAAAAGAAAAAGGGACAGTAAATACACTGCAGGTTTAGTGTTTAACAGAATAACTCCCAGGGAGAGAAATTTGGCATTGGCCTTTTGATCTACGTACAGGAAAGAGTTAACAGAGTAAGCTGTTATTCCTTGAAAGCCTGTTTGCAAGGCTGGTCTCTGGGTAGTGTCTAGAAACCTGCATTTTGAGAGGGTTACTATTACCCTAACTGATAAGGGTGGCTCACTGTGCCTCTACTATACAAACAATGTAGTTTATGCTGAACACCTGCTTTCCTTCTGGGAGTGTGGAATTTGGGTACAAGCCAGGTAGGGAATGCCTATGTGATCAATCCCTAACAAAAATCCTTGCCACTGACTTTCTAATGAGTTCCTCCAGCTATCAACATTTCATACTTGTCACAACTTATTGCTAGGGGACGTAAGCATATCTTATGTGTCTCAACTGGAAAAGAACCTTTCACAGTTTATAACTGGTTTACCGCAGATCTTTCCCTAAATATCTTTTTCCATTGTTCATTGTGTCCTGTATCCTTTTACTGCAGTGAATCATAGCTACAAGTACAACCATACGTTGAACTCTGTGGGTCCTCTTATGAATTACCTAAAGATGGCCTTGGGGGTCTCCTGACTGAACCTAGCAATCTCACTTCCGGAAACTTATCATCATATCCATACAAAATTATGTACACATAAGGTTACTCATTATAATACTGGTATAGTAAAAGATCAGAAACAAGCCAAATGCTTGTCTACATAGATCTGGTTAAATAGAGTATATCTATGAAATAGGAAGTACTTGGTATATTGATATAAAATTACTTCCATGACAGGTAAAAAAATTAAAATGGAGAATGGAGAACATATATTATACATTTTGTATATAAGAGGAGGATAACAAGAACACGTTATTCAAATGTCTTTGCATGGGCATATTAGTATATTAATTAATAAGAGGTAGGTTGTATGTGAGCAGCTATTGGGAATAGGTGGATGAAGACAAGAATAGAGAAATCAAAAATAAAAAGTAAAGAGTCCAGATTTCTAGGGTAAGGAGCTAAAGCTGCTGGGAACTCTATTAAGCCAATCTTCAATGACTTATACTTCTGGATATGGTCTATGACAAGAAGATTCACTTTTATTTTCAGAAAAGTGAAGTACTTACTTTGCCTTGACCAGGAGCTTTCTTTTTCTGCAATTCATCTCTGCTTTTCTCATATTCATTCTCTGACACTAATTTAAGGAAGAAAAGTAAAAATAGCTATTTTCAGAAAAGGCAATATAAAAGGAAAAGGTTCCTCCTAAGAGAATGCTATAATTAATGAAGAAAACATCAGTGATGAATCTACTACTGTAAAATCTGTTTTTAGAAGACAGAATTTTTCCTTCACTAATATCTCTAAGTTTTTAATACTAAGGCTAGTCTATAAACTTGAATATGATGAGGCTGCTTTTATTATCCCACACCTTAACTCTTATAGGTAAAACCAGTGAAAAGCAGTCCTTTTAATGACCAACCTATCAACTAATTTATTTTTAATAGGTTTGCAATTCCTTCCATGGCAGGACATAATGGACTCTGGGAGAAGTAGAACTGGGGAGGGCTCAGTATGGCCACTGGGAAGCATTGGGCTTTAGGTACTTTATGGGGCAGGAAGAGGGAACCTCAGGATGCAGAAGAGGAGTAAAAGAAAGGCATGGAACTAAGAGATGGAACTAAATACAAACCTCTTATATATCCCAGTTTTGTCCAGGGCCCTGGCTATTCTTCTGTGCTGCCTTACAGGGAAGTTGCTAAACCCTCCTCATAAAATCAGGTGGCACTCATGTGCAGAACAGCAAGAGTCTGCTACACTACTTACCAGAGGGTTCCTCTCGTGATGAAGCTATTTCGCTAACCTCTTCATAATCTTTATTCTGCTCCACTTGGTTGAGTTGAGACATGTTTTCTATGAAAAGCAGCACCAAAGCATATTATTATTTAATTCATGGTAGAATTCAAGAAAACAAAAACAAAAGCAAGAGAAGCTACATACATAATCATCCAGTTTTACAATAATCATTTTACAATAATCAGCTTTAACTAACCTTAATAAGGTTTTCAGTAAATGTGCCTGTAGATATCTAACAAAGAACCACCAATATTCCACTAAAACCTATTGATATCTTATCCAAAAGCCTTAAAAATACACACTTGTTGGTCTAAAACTCTACTTCCAGGAATATATTTTTTTAAAAACTAAGAGCTAACTACAACAAAATTAGAGATAAGGGCAAAATAGTTTCTGCTGGGTATTGAGGGGGGGAGCGGGAGGGGGTGGAGTGGGTGGTAAGGGAGGGGGTGGGGGCAGGGGGGAGAAATGAACCAAGCCTTGTATGCACATATGAATAATAAAAGAAAAATGAAAAAAAAAAAAAACAAAAAAACTAAGAGCTAAGCACCAAGACTTATTATTTACAAGAATATTTTTAAAAAGGTGAAAATAGCTTACATGTTTAACAAGTGAACAAGTAAAAGCTAACTAAATGACACGTACATGTGATGGACTACTATGTCCCTTAGATAAAACCCACATTGAAAAAAAAATGTGTAAAATGATTTTGTGCTGTAAAAAAATAAGAAAAAAGGCCCAGAATAATCCCTCATCAGTTGCAGATTTATTCGCTTTTAATATTTATTTATTTATTTTATTTATTTAATTTTTTGGAGTTTAAACTCAAGGCTTGTGCTCGCTAGGCAGGTGCTCTATCATTTGAGCCATGCAGCATATTTATTATTTAATCTTATAAACCAAATTTTAAAGCCTGTGCTATTTTTACACACATATATATTTTGTTCTCCTAAAACAAACAACTATGATATTTACTGCTCCCCTTGCAGGTATGGACCAAATACCAGGTTCAGAAAAAAATAAACCATGCCTGGCGGAGTGGTTCAAGCCATAAGAGTGACTGCCTAGCAAGCATGAGGCCTTGAGTTCAAACTGTCATGCCACCAAAAAAAAAAAAAAAAAAAAAAAAAAGAAAAGAAAAAAAGGCATGAATAAATACCTTTTGTGAAAGACAAGACATTTTGCCAATAACTAAACAAAAGAAAAGGCAAATTCAAAAGATCAACGTCTCACAGATGTGGAAAGAGTAATTTTTCTGTCCCTGAAGGTAATTCAAGAGAAGGGCACATCCCAGGCTTATTGTTTTGAAATAGATATGCCTGGTTTGTTTGGAAATAGGTAAACATGTATTCCCATACACATTTAATACCAGTTTTTAATATTTTTTCATGCTTCTTATTTTCTGTGTGATCTTAATTTTGCTAAGTAGTTTGGCAAGCTGCAGAAATAATTCCTGTGGTTGACAAAGGATTAGAAAGTACTAAAAAAGACAAACAATAATTTCTAGGGATGAGATATGGGGAGTTTTTCTTCCTTAGTTGTTATGTGTGATCGAAAATGAACATAGATTCCCTTCATAGTCAAAAAGAAATATTTAAAAATTAGTCAATCTCCCCTTTCAACATTTTTCATCGTCTTTCCAGTGGTGGGTGAATACCATGTACTAGGTACTATAAACATCAAGATGAATGAGGCACCATCCTTCTTGAGAACTTCTATTGGGTATAATCTTCTGGTTTAAGGATGGGGAGGAAAATTAATAAGGGGAGACTATTCTGAGACCACTTGATCAGATCCTATCATCCCACACCTCACTGCCCTCCAACTCATTCATACAGTGGCAGCAGTTCAGGATTATTCCTCAGCAGCTGTGGCTTCAGATCTCACAATTTTTTATCTTCTGTAATTCTGGAACAGACTGGAAATACCTGCCCTTAATTTACAATGGAAAAAATGAGGGGCAGTCAAAGAAGATGATTAAGAAAGTATATTTCCCGGCTGGTGAGTGGCTCAAGTGGTGAGAGCAGGTGCCTAGCAAGAGTGAGACCCTGAGTTCATATATATGAAGTTAAAATGCACAAGCAAGAACTGGTTTTCCTTTTTTAATCCACAATTAATGCAGCCGCCCCACTGAACAGCACAGGGAGAAGAAAGATAATACCATGGCTTTTTGTTTCCTTAGAACATGTGAGATCTGTGGGAGCACTTGTTTCCCACATTGCTGTTTCTGGCTTTGTCTCCTGCAGCAGCCTACTGCTTACATCCTCTGTTTTCTTTTCATATTCCTCCTTTTCTTTCTCTTCCTCCTCTTCCTCTTCTTCCTCTTCGACTTCAGGCTCATCCTTCATTCTCATTAAAGTTGGAGGGAGTTCTGGACGTTTGGGGGGCAACTTCTATGAGGGAAATAAAACCAAATACAAGTAGTCCTACACAATGATAAAAAGAGACAAATCTCTTCCAAGAGATTTATCTCAATGTATAGAATACCTAACCTCTTTAGGTTAATAAACCCCGCAAAAGGCTACTACAATTTCACATGAAATTTTGTCCATCTGTGAACCCTAAGCAAGTGTCATTATTAATTTCTAAGTTCTTAAGATTATTAGGTTGGAATTTTTTTTTTTGTCTGACATCTTAGAGAGACTATAGTAGTCACCTCTGTTCTCCAGGCTTCACAATGCCACGTAAGGACAACAAGAAGAAGAAAGATCTGGAAAGTTGGCCAAGAAAGACAAGGACCCAGTAAACAAATCTAGAGGCATGGTCAAAAAGAAATGGTCCAAAGGCAAAGCTCAGGACAAGCTCTGTCAACACCTACTCCTGTTTGACAAAGCTACTCACAACAGAGTCTGCAAAGAAGTTCCCAATTATAAGCTTATAACCCCAGCTGAGGTCGCTAAGAGACTGAAGATTCACAGTTCCCTGGCCAAGGCAGCCCTACAGGGGCTCCTTAGTAAGAGACTTACCAAATTAGTTTCAAACCACAAAGTTGAAGTAAGTTACACTGGAAATACTATGGGTGGAGATGCCCTAGCTGCAGGTGAAAATGCATGAACAGGTCCAACCAACTGTACATTTGGAAAAATAAAACTTTATTTAAATTAAAAAAAGATGATTAGGTTGGAGGTGTAACCTGGTAGTAGAGCACTTGTCTGGCTTGTACAAGGCCCATGTTTCAGTCCCCAGCACTAAACACACAGAGAAAGGGAAAGTATTATTAAATATAAAATACTTGAAGCAGCTTGCAGGGAACTACAACATTTACTCCAAGTAAGTAAGAGTGGCAGGAATTTTATCCTGTGATACCTCTTGATATTAAAGGATCTTACTTTGTTACAAAAATCTTCTAAGGAGTAAATCAGATATATATTCCCAAGAAAGAAATCATTTCTCATTTTTGACAACATAATTTCAGGGAAAAAAGACATATAAATGAATAAAACAGCTCCTGAAGAAAAGGAAAACATTTCTCGAAGAATTGACCATATATATGTATTTTTTGAAACAGGGTCTCACTATGTTGCCTAAACTAGTTTTGAACTCCAGGGCTCAAGTGATCCGTTAGCCTTGGCCATGTGCTACCATGACTAAAAGGCCATCAAGACCTTTCAACAACAATGAAAAAAGACCTTTCAACAAAAGTACTTAAGAGTTGCTGGATGTGGTTGGCACATGCCTATAAACCCAGCACTTGGAAGACTGAGGCAGGAGGATCATGAGTTTGAGGCCACCTCAAACTGTCCTAAAAAAATAAACAAACAAACCCAAAAGAATTTCGAAAAAAATTCACCATATTTCCAGAATAGGGAGAAGGTATCAAGGTATACATTGGTTACATCATTTTTAAAATAGAGGATTTAGTTAAGTAATTCTTAGGAGTTTTAGGAAAGCATTTTTCTTCTATTTAAAACCTAAATACCCCACTCTCAGAGCCTCCATCTTTCAAGTAATACACATAACTTATTCAGAACACATAGCTGAGCTAAGGGCTAGGTGTGTACCTCAGTGGTACAGTGCTTGCCTAGCATGCACAAGGCCCTGGGTTCAATCCCCAACACCACAAGAAAACAGAATATACAGCTGAGACTTCAGACCTCTGCTACCAGAGGACAGTTTACCCAATTCTGTTGGCAATAATGGTGCCGACAGGTTTCGGTTCTTACTGCACCCTTAAGCTTCTGTTTTCCAGGGTCACGGTCCTGCCTCAAGTCTAGCTTGAATCCTCCTTCTGCCCCAACCTCCAATCAGCATGAACCATAAGATCCTAACCAATCAGATCATGCTGAGTCCCACTGAGGGGTATTTAGGCCCCTGCCCTTCCTCTTCTCTCTCTTGCTCTCTGCTCTCTCCCTCTCCCACCGCAATAAAGAATCTCTTGGCCAGATCACTCCTCTCCACGTGGTCACTTTTGGGGCCTATATTTCCACATTTGGTGCCATGACTCGGATGGGGCTCCCCACTAATCCTGGTGGGACCCCATTCCAACTCACCCCACACCACCCTGAGGACGTGACTGGCCAGGACTCATGCTCCCGATCACTGCTTGCATCCAACACTGGACATTCTTTGGTGAGTCCACATACCCTTCTCGGGCTCCCTTTGCGGTCTCTCCCTTCGGTGTCTCCGGGGTTTTCAAACACTTCCCCTGTTTGGCTATCTCTGGGTGGCTCAGGCGGTAGAGGGATTCCCTTCGTTGTCAGGCTTGGATCCATTTTGTCGTGGGTCTCAGAGACCCGTTGTCAAAAAGCCTGGGCCCAGGTGACCCATAGCCCTCGGCCCATCAGCGCCTTGCAAACCACCTGAACTCAGTGACGACTGATTCTTGTGTGTTTTGCATTCTCTCGGATATTTGTGCTGCGCGAGGACACTCCACAGTACACAATATCCTCCTCTCCCATTCTGGGACCGGGTCCCTCATAATGGGTGCCTCTACGTCTTCTCTACCATCTGACTCCCCATTGAGATGCCTCCTCAATAATTTAGACACCTTGGGTTTGACCCCAGACATAAAACCAAAAAATTTAATCCACTTTTGCACTCAAATCTGGCCCACTTATCCTTTAGACAACCAAAATCACTGGCCCCTTTTCGGTCTTTAAATCCCAACCTTTTATGGACATATAACTACTGTGAGCATTGGGACGATGGGGAGAGATTCCATTATGTCCAAGCTTTTCATACTCCGTCTAAATCCGGCTCTCTGACTTCAAACACTCCCTCTGTACTTTCTGTTCCCCTGCGCATATTCTATTAGCCTGTAAACCAGTTTCTAAATCAGCCAATTCCTCTCCAAACCTCCTCCTTCCCCACGTAAACAGACTTCTTGTACGGCTTACCATACCTATCTCCCCCTATCTTCCTGAAAAACTTTCCCTGTCATGGAGTTAAGCAAGCCACTCCTTGCCAATTCTGGCCTCAAGGCAGTTCCAGCGCTGGGAGAGCTCATGCTTTATTCGGTGACTGGAGAGTGGAGGTTTGTTTCCTGAAAGCCTGCCAGTACCAATCAATGGGAGCAACCTAGAGACATAGGTGATGGCTAATCCCTTAAGTGTGTATCATGCCTCCAGGCTCTGCCTTCCCCTCCCTTACCTAAGATGTCAGCACACCTTTTCTGCCTCCTCCATGGTCTCACCACGTGTCCTTTGTCTCTGTCTGCCTTCCCCTCCCTGGGCTTACTGGGACCCTGCCTCCCATGAAAAACCTGTAGCATGGTACCTTATGACTTAAGTTATTCCAACTAGTTTGCCAGGCCTCTTAGTCTAAAGTAACTTTAAGTCAGCTGCTTTACAAAAGCACTTACAAAAAACCTGCAGCTGCCACGCTTATGCTTAACTCCACCCCAAAGGGGAGGAGGGAAAGCAAACAGGCGCACCTGTGCACAGGATGCCGCTCTGGACACAGCAAAAACGCCTGCCATAGCTAAGAAAATCCATAGAGAGGACCCAGTACATCCTGGGCCCCAAGCCACACATGGCGATGGCTGCAGCCCACCACCACTTCCCCTAGAATAAACACACACAGAGTACACAGGAAGGGGGAGGAGGCGGACAGGTAGGCAGGGTCATTTGTCCCAGGTGTGTGTGGAGGGAGTGGCCTTGCACAAGTCCTGCTCCTAGCCCCACCTCACACCTCAGGGCATCAGACCCAGCCCTTGTAAGCCAATTGTTAGCTCAAGGTTATAGTTCCAGAAATAACAAAATAGACATTACTGTGGTCTCTAAACTTCTCATTTAGAATTTTCTATACCTTTGGCCTCAGCATAAATTTTTCCCTCCAAATATTAACACTAGTTGTCCCGTATGGCACTGTTATTGGCCTGAAATGCCCTCTGAATGCCCTTCTCTAACTTTACAAATGATTTCTTTGTTAAAAAGGTAGCCTTTATTAAAGAGGCTGCCTGCTGTTAGCTAAAAGACAGGATCCTAACGTTTTGTTCTTTCTAGATGGGACCTGCATCTTCCAGTCTTTGGCTGGTAGATGTTGGAAGCTTTGTACTGAGGCCTGGCCTCAGTATGCCTTGGGTGACCAAGAGAAGTGGCCTTCACAGGGTTCCTTAAATTACAATACCATACTCCAATTAGACCTTTTCTATAAAAGTAAAAGTAAACTGAGGTCCCCTATACAAATTTCTACCCTCTAAGCCACCCCAATACTCAGAACCTCTAAATGAGTGCTTCCTCTTCAACAGGCAATGGTAGGAAGAGGGCAAGTTTTATGTCCCCTTCCAGTTATCAGATCTAAGGGAAATTTAAAAACATCTAAACAGCTGTACTGATGCCCAGACAAATACATTCAAGCCTTTATCTCTGTGATCCAAACCTTTCAACTGACATGAAAGGATATTATGCTTCTACTAGACCAGACTCTTATCTCATTAGAGAAGCAATGGGTTCTGGCCCAGGCCACTCAGGTTGGAAATGATTATATGGCTCAAGCAGTAGAGTGCCGCTTTACAAGCATAAAGTCCTGAGTTCAAGCCCAGTACAGCCAAAGTAAAAAATAATAATAATAATATTTGGGGCTGAGGAAGTAGCTCAATGGGAGAATGTCTGCCCAGCATGTGCAAAGCCCTGGGTTCAATTCCCCAGCATTACTAAAAAAAAATGGTAAAGAAGATAAGTGGCATTAATGTCACTTCAGCCATCTCATAGTGAAAAACATAGGTTAACCTAGACCAGATCCCTCATTCTTCAAGTGAGGAAACTGAGGCCCAGAACAGTTCAGAGACTTGCTCTCCAGAGTGTCAGGTGTCAATGTAAAATAACAACTTTACTTTACAGCAACAACCTATCAGAAAGCATACCACGGTGGACTCAGAGTCACAGGTGAGAGAGGTTCTCCTCAGAGATAAATTTCTAACAGTCCCAGATATTCGTAAAAAACTCAGACTGTGGCTGAAGGGAAAAGTCATTGAACCAAGTAATACAGCTAGCCATGTCTGTATTTATGGCTATGTCTGTATGTCCAGGACCTTACTAACAGGAGAGAAAAAGATAAGAGACACCATGGCCTCATTGCTGCTCTCAGAGAGGGCCCCACCCAACTGGGGCCTGTATCCTGAACTTGCTACCATGGTGGACAGGAGGGGCACTTCTGCAGAGAATGCTTAAGGGGGACAGCCTGGGAGACAGCCCCACCCCCAACTGGGACCCTGCCCTCTGCAAGGGTAACCACTGGAGGTCTAAGTGCCCCCATCACCAGATGGAAGGTGAGGTGCCATCTCTTATGTATTGATGGGTCCCAGCCTCCTGTCCACACTCCACTTCTTGGCATCAATGTTGAGGAGCCATAATGGCAGAAAAACAAAAGGTCATTTTCCTCCTAGACAGTGGAGCCCGTTTCTCTGTTTTACCTTTTTCTCCTGGTCCCCGGTCCAATGACAAAAGTTATCGTTTGGGGCAAATCTGGCCAGCCCCTAGAGCACTAGTTTACCTGGCCTCTGGCCTGCTCTTGGGGAGACCTCCTCTTCTGTCACTCTTTCCTCATAGTACCTAAAACTCCAGTGTCCCTGCTGGGACAGGATTTACTATCTCAATTAAAAGCTCAAATTCTCCTCCCCCAGGCAGCTATCTCTGCTGCCCCTCCTTCAGGAACAAAGAGATTCCACAGTGTGGACTGATGAGATGAGTGTAGGGCGAGCCAGGACAGCCCTCCCTATTCAAATAAAACTCAAAAATCCCTCACAGTTTCCACACCTAAAACAATATCCCCTCAAGCCTGAGGGACAATGAGGCCTTATGCCTATTCCTAAAAACAATAAGGGCTACTAATTAGTTGCTCCAGCCCCTACAATAAAATTAAAATTCTTATAAAAATTAATTTTAAAATACAAGTTACAAAGTAAATACCTGGAAAGGATATAGATGGTAATAAATTTTTTGAGAAGTTAAAGGAAAAAGGAATGGTTTTTTGGATGAGAAGGGATTTTGCAAAGAAGGGTTTGTCCTAAAGATTGTTTCAAATAGGAAGGATAAGGACAAACCATCAAAGGGTTTAGTATGTTGTACGAAGGTCTGAGTAAGTTTGAAAAGTGTATAATAAAAGCTTTGGTGTGTGATAAAGTTAAAGTTGAATATAATCTAAGAGTTGCCTAAAAGATTTTTAGGGTCATGTCAAACTAAAATCAAATCCTCTATGTCTATGAAATAACAAGGTTATCTTAATATTGTTCTGCTCTGAGTAACATCTATAAAAAACCATTACAGAGAAAGATTTTATCAAAGAAATTATTCGTGTTTTCTGCTGATTTTGTCAAGCTTTAAGTACTACTAAATCAGAGTTCATTTACATATTTGCTTATGTGTCTTAAATGACCACCTTTTAACAGTGTTATCTGAATATGGTACAAACATTTAAAAGGTTAAAAGTGTCAATTTATATAAAATAATAAGCTAAAGCTCTCTTTTATCCAAGAGTGTTATATTTAAATCCTGACAGCCCCTGCCTCCCACAGGTCACCTACCTAGGTGTGGCCTTAAAGGGACAGACTCACTCCCTGAGTCATAAATGCATCAACACAATTTTCCATTTCCCAACCCCCCATACCATAAGACAGCTTACAGCTTTCCTGGCAGTTACAGGATTTTGCAGAATTTAGATTCCTAGGTATGTAGTCCCTGAACAGACACCTTTTTATGCTCCTCCTAATATTCCTATTTGGGTCTTAGATAATGTATGGCCACCCATTTCTCTCTCAGTAGTTGGAGGACTCTTGAAATTGTCTAGGGAACAAGTTTTCACAGTGGTTCTCCTGGCCAATGCCCATCCTAATGCCTATTTGCTCTCCTATTCTTAAGCTTCCTCCCTTGTATCATACTACATGTCTCTATTGCTAATCAAAAATTTAACCAGTCGTACCTCCAGGGATATCGATCTCTCCAAAATGTGAGGATAGTTGGCTGGTACCCACCATGTGGAGATTGGAGGATTGGCTCGAGACTCTTACCTATGGCTACAAGGGACCTTCATCAACTTCAGGGAAGAGGAAATCTTCATTTTCGGAGCCTGACTGTACGCCACCATGAGGCTCAGCACCCCAACATTGTTTGCCAACTAACCCTCCCTTCCCCTACACCGCCCCTTGCCAGCTCGAAGAAGCCAGAGCGAACACAACACCCCCCTTCCTTAACAAACAAAAAAGGGAGGAATGTTGGCAATAATGGTGCCGACAGGTTTCGGTTCTTACTGCACCCTTAAGCTTCTGTTTTCCAGGGTCATGGTCCTGCCTCAAGTCTAGCTTGAATCCTCCTTCTGTCCCAACCTCCAATCAGCATGAACAAGAGATCCTAACCAATCAGATCATGCTTAGTCCCACTGAGGGGTATTTAAGCCCCTGCCCTTCCTGCTTCTCTCTCTTGGCTCTCTTGGCTCTCTCCCTCTCCCACCTGGCAATAAAGAACCTCTTGGCCAAATCACTCCTCTCCACATGGTCACTTTTGGGGCCTATATTTCCAACAAATTCAATGTGCTACAAGCTGAATTGTGTCCCTCTACAAATTTATGGGTTTTAAGATTTGTTTTTTGTTTTCAGGCAGGGTCTCGCTATATGACCTAAATTGCCAGGAACTCACAAAATTCCTGCTTCAGCCTCCAAGCTACTGGAATTACAGACACGTGCCACCATGCCCAGTTTATTTTTAAAATTTTTTTCCCCACAAATTTATGTTTGGGGTTCCAAACCCTCATACCTCAGAACGTGACTATATTTGGAGATAATGTCTTTAAAGTGATTAAGTTACACTGAGGCATTTAGGGTAGGGCCCTAAGCCACTATAACTGGTGTCCTTAAAGACACATACAGATGGACAATCACGTGAAAGGACAGCAAGAAGGCTGCCATCTACTAGCCAAGAAAGAAACCAATTATGCCAGCATCTCAATCTTTAACTTCCAGCATCTAGAATGCAAAGAAAATAAATTTCTGCGGTTTAAGCTACCCAATCTGTGGTATTTGATTATGGCAGCCCTAGCAAACTCATACACTCATTGGAATGATGAAAATCTTTTAAAAGCTGAATCTATGAATAGGAATATACATAAAACAAAAAAGCATATCAGTGAGGCATTTCAGGAGGATAGAAAGATCATGAAACTCAAGAGCCAGAAGACCTGAATCTGATGGCCAACTTAATTATATAATGATGGTATGATCCAGTACACTGCCTCTTTGACTAGTTCCTCATCTGTATGACACAGTAATTAACACATATTATAAGATGTTGGAAGGATTAAATCAAGTACAGAAAATGCACATGGCAGAGACAAGTGCATATATTGCATTGATAACAAATGTTAGTTGAGTCTGATTATTATATCTATCTACCAGGTTAAAAGCATTTAATGAAGGAACTCCATTCCTAAATCCAAATTCATCAGAAATTAATAAACTGATATTCTAATTTATAAATCAGTATGATTAATTTTCCTATTCTTAACCTTAAACTGAACCAAAAAATTCGAAGATCAAATTCTGGGGAAGATCCGATCATACAAAGCCTCAAGTCCTTTTTCACATCACTGTAGAATGAGTCATTTACACTTATAAAAGAAAAACTACTCCCAACAAAGGAAGGGAGGTAAAGAAGGCAAAAAGGGAGGGAAGGGAATGGGCAGGAAAAGGGGGAGGGAGGAATAGCCTGGAGCTAACTCAAGAGTTAAAATTTAACACCTTGCTGGTGGCTCATTCCTGTAATCCTAGATACTCAAGAGGATTGCTGTTTGAAGCCAGTCCTGGCAAATAGTTTGCGAAACTCTATCTTAAAAAAACTCATCACAGAAAAAGGGTTGTGGAGTGGCTCAAAGTGTAGGCCCTAAATTCAAACTCCAGTACCAAAAAAAAAAAAAAAAGTTTAACATCTTGACTCATCACTTACCCCTACTGTTCCTGTTTTTAATTTGAATTTACTTCCTCCTTTCATGGCACCAAAGAGAGGTAATGTAAGCTTCTTAGCTTTGTTTTCTGCATCTGTAGGCTGAAGTTCAGTCCTAAGAAGACAGAAGAATTATACATACTCATTTCATTGAGTCTAAGGTTTTATCTAAAAATACCACAACACTAATAAAGTAACTTCTGACAAGACAAATATTATCACAAAATGAATACATGAGCATATAAGAAAGAGGTATTGAGGTTGGCAGAGTTTGAAAAGACAATGATATTTCTATCAGAGAGCTATTAAAAGCAAGACAAGGCTATTATTCCCTCAGTTTAGTAATCTGCAATATATTACATGACTGCACATTTATCAAATCCTAACAACAGTTCAACGGTCAGTGGCAAAGGAGAATATATAAGCATGATCCCATCTCCATTTATGCAACAGGAGATGAATCCACAGAGTAAAGCCCAATATATCCCACAACCTCTAATGAGTGTCTTACTTACCATAACCATGTGGACAACAGCTCTGCTTTAACAGAAGTTAAAAAACTAAAAATAAAGTGCATGCACAAGATATCTTGTGTAGTTACAACACTGCATCATTTTCATTGGCTGGAGATAGTTATTAAAGCTCAGCTAAAAGGAAGACAGCAGGAATTAGAAAGGTGCAGGGGGGAGGGGGACGGGAGGGGACGGGACAGGACGAAATAGCAAAAACAAAAGAACTGTAATCCCAGCACTCAGCAACCTGGGTCAGGAGGATCATGAGTTTAAGGCCAGTCTGGGCTGCACAGTGAATTCTAGGTCAGCCTAGAATACATAGCAAGAGCCTATCTCAAAAGCAAACAAACAAAAAAACCCAGAAACTTAACCCCAGGAATCCATCTCCAATCTGAAACACAATACTCTCTGGGGGTTGAGAGAAAAAAACAAGAGAGATGGCAGTTGGGTTAACAAAACATTCACCTTGTCAGAGTAGGCAAAAGTAACAATTACACGTAGGCAGAAGTGACAATAAGAAGATGGCATGTGGAGACAGAGGAAAGCTTAAAAGAACAATAATAGGTCAGGGGAAAAAAGTGCTATAGCTCCTTCATGTCAACAGAACTGACAGTTGGGACTCATGGTAACTCACGTTGGAAACTGATTATCCTGGCCAGCCCTGACGCTCTACTTGCCACTACTGCCATTGTTCCCTAGTGATGTGCTTGGGCCCAGCCTCACTGCCTTTCTCCCTGTCAGATTAGAACTCACTCCCTTGTTAAGGTCGCCAGAAGACTTCTGCCTTCCTGGCCCAACATACACTCTGCAAAATCATGATCCTACATACTCTTCAAAGGCTCAGGCATAGGAAGGCAAAGGCAACAGCAAAACATCTTTTTCAACTATATTAAATAGCTGACATTTAATAACTACACTTAAATAGCTGGGGCGGCCTAGAGGATATGTAGACTGCCCCAAAGGAAATGCAAAAGCAGAAGATAGGTCATAACCAGTAGTTAGGGTTAGGGAATAAGGCAGAATTAGCTAGGAACTTTGAAAGTTCAACCCTACAGTGAGAAGAGGATGAAGAAGATACACAGCATCTAGGCCAGTACCCAAAGTAGGAAAGGGAAGAAAAGACAGGCAAACACACAGACTGACAGCAGGAGGGGCAGCTCTGGAGGAAGTTGATGTATGTTTTTCAAGCTCAGAAAATCCCAAGCGACTGACTAGTCAAGTGAAAAGATTTTAGAGGAAGAATTACAAATCACCAATAATTTGTTTAACCTAGATATGCCTCCTAAGTTTTTACTTAGTTAAAAATAGTTGCTAGGCACAAAAGAAATAGTAAAACTTAAGACAATGGTAACAATAATACATGTATGTCAGCACTTTAAATGCTGCTCATTTAAACTTTGCATCATCATTACTTCCAATTTATAGATGAGGAAAGTAATAAACAAAGAAGTTACGTAAGTTGCCCTCAAATTCCCCCCAAAAAACCCAGGAAGTCTGACTCTACTGCTAACCTACCTTGTCATTTGTCATATGGTTCAAATGGACTTCTGTGGACTTATCTAGGAATCATTGCATAGTAGCTTCCTCCCCCCCACCCCCACCTCTTATTCTCAATGGGTGCATGAAACCATAGGTTGTATCAAACTTATAAAGACTGTTTTATCCAATACATACACCAATATATTGCTTTCCATCTTTACTAAGCACTTATCATGTACCACGGCTTTAGCTTTTGCAGTATGAAGTGCAACCATAAAACTAACACAAATTTCTCTTTCTTCACAATTTCATGGACAGAAGATTGGTTCTTACTATGGATCCTAGCAACCTCAGTACATGATTTTTTTATTCTCTTATTAAGTCAAGAAATTTTACCTTTTTGCAGGGAGTGGTGGGTGATGCCCAGAATCCCAACTACTTGGGAGGTAGAATTTGGCAGGACCATGGTCTAGGCTGGCCCAGGCAAAAACACAAACTCCTAGGTCAAAATTAACTAATGGAAAAAGGGCTGGGGAATGGCTCCAGTGATAGAATGCCTGCCTCTACCAAGCACAAAGCCCTGAGTTTAAACTACAGCAAAGAAAAAAAAAATGCTAACCTGAACAGAAATATAGAAAGTAAGTAGGTATTTCGATAAACAGAGAATCCATATAGTTTATTCTGAAACTCCTCTAGCAATCTATATTTCACAACTGAAAGGAGTTTCAGTTACTGTATGAAACCAGTGCTTTCTATGCTTTAAAACCTTTCTGGGATGGAGATGTGGCTCATTAGTAGCGTTTGCCTAGCACATAGGAGGCCCTGTATTTGATCCTCAGCACCACAATATTCTATAATTATTACCTGAGGAGATAAAAGGATAATTCAAAGTGTTAGATGTGCTACCACATTTATTTAAAAATCCAAATATTACTACTTACTTACTTTTTTAGCTCTGGAATCGCTGCTGGCTTTACAATTTTTATCAATCCCTTAAGTCTCTGCTGTTCTTTCCTTAGCTCAAAAGTTCTCAGGTGAAGTTTCTTCCGGGACACACCATCTAATGCACTACCTGATTTCATTTCTGACATGAATGCATCCAAAGAGTCCTGAGATGGCGACTCAGATAAAACTGTCAAAGAAAGGGATAACAGATGTTTAGAAAAATGGCCCCACACATTTCAAAATTCCAAGTTTCCATAGACAAGTCACTAACATAAAGCGGGACAGAGAACATCACTGATATTAGGAATAAAGAAACAGGTTACAGTTGTGAGATCCTAGGAAGTTGATTTTTGTCTCAATAGGCCTCATTTCTTTCAACTATTAAATTAAACAATTTCTCATGTTCCTTCTAAAATGCTATGGTGCTCTTTAGAAAAACTCATATTTTGTATGTCTTAGTAACCAATTCAGGCCCAATGACAATGAACTATATATGACAGGTGTTCAATAAATATTTGATGACAGCCTTACCTTTACTTGAGGCCTTCAGCCTCTCAGAAATTTCAGAGAGTTCCTTTTCAGCGTCATTTAACTTTGCAACCTGTGACACCAAAATCGAAAATGTTAGCAAATATTTTCCTTCTTTCAAGCTTATATTTATCATCCTCCTCCTTTCATTACTGCTACAAGTTTTCAGAGGATTAATTTAGAACTCTAGCTAAATCTGTTCCTTATGAAGTTAATATTTTTCATTTGCTTATTTTATTCTAGTTGAATTGATTTCTAAATTAAAGAACTCAGAATTAAATAGAATGAGTACTTGAGACTTCATTTTTCTCAAATAAAGTGCTCGGTTTTTATTGATGAATCAAAAGGATAGACGTTGGGTAATGTTTTAAGCTCTGAATAGTACTAAATATAATGTTAAATGCATGCTACCTTATGATAATTTTATGAAGAACATACCATTCTAGACTAATGGGACACTATATTCATCAAAATACCTTTGATTCCTCTTGATTGTTGGAATCCTAAAATCAATTTCACCTCAGATGCCCTAACTTGAAACTTTTTCTTTTCTTTCTTTTAGGAATAACAACATATACAAAGAATGTTCACTAATGGATCAGTACCAACCTGGAGACAATTCTCTAGCAGCAAGACAATTTCTTCCCCAACAACTTGAATAAAACTATTTGCTTGTTACCATTAAATTTACATATCACAACTACCAGATTTCCATGTTACGGTTTTAAAATTGCACTATCAAAACACAATTTAACCAAGCGCAGATGGCTCACACCTACAATCCTAACTACTTAGGAGGCTGAGATGAGGAGGATTGCAGTTCAAGGCCAGCAAAGGCAAATAGTTTGTGAGACTTCACCACCAAAATAACCAGAGCAAAATGGACTGGCGGTGTGGCTCAAGCAGTAGAGTGCCTGCTTTGCAAGTGCAAAGCACCGAGTTCAAACCCCAATCCCACCAAAACAAACAAACAAACAAACAAAAACCCAAAACAGATTTAAATAAATTATTTTATTAAAAAAAAAAAAGTTAACTCCCACAGCTACTTCTGTAAATAAAACTTGCCAGTGATTCAAAGGTCTCTGGCTTCTCCTCAATCTTCCCAGCCTTCTTCATTCGGTTCAGACGCTTTTTCTCAACCAGACCAGTCCGATCAAGGAATGTGTCATCATCACTATCGTAAAAGTCTTCATCTTCCCAGTTCTTGGCTTTTCTTTTCCGAGACACTAGAGGTAAAATGATTGAAAATGAAATAAGTTTTTTAAAAAACAAAAAGAAAAAAGGCAGTGGCAAGCAGCTTAAAGAAAGGACTGCACAAGCTATCAACCCACATATAAAAAGGGCTTGCCAGACATGGTGGTGTATGCCTATAATCCCAGTAATTGGGAGGCTGAAGCATGAGGATCCAGAGTTCAAGAGCCTAAACTACATAGCAAGACACCATCGCAAAAAAAACAAAATCAACAGAACCCAAGAGAACCTTGAACGCATTATGCAAAATGAAATAAATCAGACAAAAAAAGGATACTTATCTCATGATTCCACTTATACGAAGTATCTAAAGTAGTCAAATTCATAGAGACAGAAAAGTAGAACTGTAGTTTCCAGAAAAGTAGAATTGTAGGGACTGGGTGAGCGGGAGAACAGAGTTACCGTTTACTGAGTACAATTACAGTACGGAGGAGGACAGTGATGAATATGTAATGTGAATATACTAATATCACTAATTTATATGATTAAAATGGTATGTTTTATGTTACATATATTTTACAAAAAATTTTTTAAATGGCTAATTTAGTAAGTAAAAGGCTCTTTAAAAAATCAAAAAAGTAATGCTGCATAGTCAAGACTGGCTTTAAACTTGTGACTCTCCTGCCTCAGTCTCCCAAGAACTTGGTTGTAAGTGTGCACCACCATGCCCAGCTAGAATTTATAATTTTATTAAATTCATATTCTAAACATCTGGGTAAGTTCTGCTGGTTACTAGCATTACGTAAAAAGAATATATTAAATTTAAAATAGTTAAGTGTTGCTTAACTAAGTTTTAAGAATGATATTAAATATTAACAAAAGGCCACTTTAAAGGCAGGTGTTAAAATTCACTAGATTTAGAATTAAACTAAGATCTATAAACTGAGCTTAGAGCTCAGTTTTTGAATTTGTAACTTTAATAAAATCAGTACTAATTTTAAAAACTAAAATAGCTTCACATAGTCTATTATAGGTTAAAACATTTTCCTTTAAAACATCAAAAAAGAAAAAAAAATCCTATTAAAATGGATGAGAACTAATCTTTAAGAAGGAATAGCTCCCCCCTACAACAAATATAGCCTAACAAAAATGGAAAAAAAATTAAAGTAGCACTAGAAAATCAAAGAATCCTGAATTTAAAAAAAAGGAGTAACTAATCTGAGAATATTCTCATCATGTTTAGTATTTCCCATTTGCACAGGTATTAAACAATCTATGAAGTGATTACAGGGTGTCTAATGGTTATTGCAAGGATGAAGAAAAATGTAGAGGACAATCCATGTGTACTTTAATTGTGAATTTTTATTTTTTGTCTTTTGATAGAAAAAAACATGATAACTAGTTCTGGCTCAAAACTACAAAATCTTTGGTATGAAACTGCAGTTCCTCAGGTGAAAATAAATTCTGCTTAAACTTTTGAAATGAAAAAAAGTTAGCAAGTAAAAATGGAGAAAGATAAATGAGAAAAAGACTACTGAACATGGGAAGAAATCTAGGAATATCAGAATAAAGAAACAGAAAATTCAAGGAGGAAAAGCCAAGGAAATTCTCAAGGGTGACAGCAAAGTTAAGTGCCAGATAACAGTTCTGCAGCTCGGGAAAGCAGTAAATCCTAAAATAGAACAGTACTCATCAGCAAAATGTCCCAAAAAAAAAAAATCAGAAATGATAAATTCACGTTTGAACAATACAGAGAAATATATGCAAAGGCTATAGGAAGAATGAGCAAGATGCACCAAAAAAAAAAAAAAAAAAAAACCCAAACACATGAAAAACAAACACAATTATTATATTTAGGGAAACAATCCCCTGCACCTAAAAAAAAAAAAAAAAAAGAGATTCACAAAGAAGCGTAAGTAATAATATGACTGCACTTCTGTTTTCTGTTAGAACATGAACAATAGCTACCTTGGTTATTAAAACTGGGATTTTTTTTTTCTTTTCACTTCAAAAAATTCTGTACAATTTACACATTCCCCCTGAAAGGACATATTACTTTTTTTTTTTTTAAAGCTCCACAAATGTTAATATTTGTGTCCTGGACTTTTATTCATTTATTTTTATTTTATTTTTTGGCACTACTGGTGTTTGAACTCAGGGTCTCAGGTTTGCTAGGCAAGTGCTCTACCTCTTGAGTTATGCCCCAACTGATATTATTACTTTTTGTGTTGAGTTTTCCTTCCCATACATACCTGCTTCCTGCCTCAGCAATCCCAAAGTGTCAAGGATCCGACAAGCTTCCAGTGAGCACTGAATCATTGCTTCTTTTTTCTTTCCTGAATGAATGGCCTCCGCCACCAGTTGCTTCCCAGTTGAATCATCCACAGGTAATCTCCATTGGTTTAGAGGGAATTACAGCACAGCAGTAAATTCTAATTCTCATAAAAACAACTAAATATGCTGTGATGACAGTTATGTTCTCTTAAATGGGTTTTCAGCCTCTCAATTCATTTCCTTCCACTTCTTACTCATCTCACCTCACCTCCCAATACTGTGAAGTGTTACTAAACTATCAAGGCCCAAATTTAGGAATAGCCTAAGACTAAAGTATTCTTTAGGGTGTTGACTATAACCATAAAATTAGCCTGATACTGGCCACTTTCCAGATACAGACATTAATAAAGAAAAGAACATACCTCACTCTACAGAGCCAAGTGCTATGTCCTTGTTCATCAAATTCATATTCTAATTCTTCTCCTATAGGAGGAAAAAACCAATTTTAATAGGACCTGAAAGTTACTAGTTGATACAATGAGAACATAGAGCAAAAGATGAAAAAGGACATCAAGTTTCCAGACCACAATGAATGCTAAATATCAATACACTGAGTAAATACTAAATTGCACTTATTCCTCGAAATAATCATTTGACAACAAAACTAGAATGAGTCTGACACAGAGATAAACAATCTCAGATGAAAACAATCAACTATTGGTCTGGGGTATAGTTCAGCAGTAGAGAGTGTGCTTAGGCCCTGAATTTGATCCTAGCACCACAAAAACAAAACAAAACAAAAAAGAAACTACCTGAAGCAACTAGCTACAAAGACAAGAACTGGGCAAGGACGACAGCAGATAAAATACACCATTTCTAATTATGAAGCTCAACCTGAAGCTCTAGAAAATAATATTGCTGCAGGTCCCTTTAATTGTCCAGGTCAGAAACTATTTGCATACCTTCTCGGTCAAAGAAACCTTGGAGAGCTTTTTTTGGATCCTTTATGTAAAAGGCCTCCCGTTCCTGCTGAAACTCTAAAACAATGGGGTTCTCTTCAGCCTCATCCTCTACAGCATCTTCTCCTGCAGGATAAGAGAGACAGAATGAAAAGACTGGACATGTGAAGCAGATATCTGAATGACCCCCACTATCCCTTTCAGGTTGCATATAGTCATATGAGCCACACACAGTGGTACATTTCTATACTTCCAGCACTTGAGAGGCTAAGGCAGGAGAACTTTGAGTTCAAGGCCATCCTGGGCTACATAGTTAGATTTTGTTGGGAGGGAGGAAGGAAGATAGATAGATAGATACATACATACATACATACTTGGGAACAGGGTAAGAAATAACCACAAACCACCACTATGATTGTCTTTACGCTTTCTAGATTAGATGACAAGTCAAAACTTGTTTCCATGGCACTTTTTCCCTCCAAAACTTTATTTTAAAAGTAAAATTTACATACCAAATTTTGAAAAAAAATTGAGCTCTTCACCTAGCATTCTCTTTTTCTCAAACTCAAGTCTAATACTTTCTCTGCAATAAAATTTCCTAATACTTTTCATATCTGCCAAATAGACTGGTAAACTCATTATTCCCTTAAAACCATCAGTTCTTGCCATGAACAACAATCCCAATGTGCCTGGCTCAAGTGGTACAGCGCCAGCCTAGCAAGCATGAGGCCCTGAGTTCAAACCCCAGTAGCTCCCTCAGCACACACACAAGCCATACATGTAATCTCAAATTTTCTATTAGTTACATTAATAAGATGAAAAGAAACAGGTGGAATTCCTGTAATCATTACAAGAATATCACAACTGAGATATTTTACTTTCTTTTTTCGCACTGTCTTTGAAATCCAGTGTGCAGTGTGTACTATGCACCTGTCAACTTGTAACGGCTGCACACTGCAAGAACGCAATAACCACATGTGCTAGTGGCTACCTTAGTGGACAACACAGGTCTATGTGCTCAGTGATTGCTCCCTTCTCTGACCCCCAATTCTAGTATGCTAATGCTTTCTAGTTTCTATTTGGCACCTAGTGCTATATATTTATCCTGTCTTCCCATCTATGTATCAAGATCAACTTATCTTTTTGTCCTGAATATCCATCCACCAAAATGGTTGATGTTTGTGGAAAATTCAGTCATCCCTTTGATTAAATGACCAGTTTTTTCCAATTTGGTATTTTACCTTTCAGGGTATTTCACAAAGTAAAAAAAAATTCAAGAGCCTATCCTATATTGAGTAACATTCTATTTTATTTGATTGAATGTAGTTTCATCCTGTCCAATGGTAATTATTTAGCACAAGGTCAGTACTTAATATACATTTTTAAATGATGAAAACACTAAGTTAACTGCCGAAGAAGAGTTTTGAACAAGAAATTACACTAAAACACATTTCAAAATATTCAATTATTTTTTAAATTAGTAATTAATGATTCTCCCTAACTTTTGGTTATCTTGTGTGCAAGAGTCATGAAAAAACATTTAAGGGTACCAACTCAAAAAACATTAAGCTCTGCCGACAATTTTAATTTCTTACCCATTCCCCATGTGCAACCCATCTCATCATCTTGGCCACTAGTATTTCTCTTCCTCTCGGTGGTGTCCATTTCCTCTTCTTCATCAGAGTCTTCTCCTAGCATCTTCTTCTCCAGCAAAATCTGCTGCTGCTTTCGTAGTTCCTTCAACTGTGTTACCGTTAACTCGGATTCTGCCTCTCTGTCTTCCTCTGGTCCCTGATGAAAAAAAGCCAAAATAAATAAATAAATAAAGCAAAATTCCTTCAGAATTTTAGGGTTTAGGAATGTAGAAACTGCTCTCAGAAATGCAGCAATGTATGCAGAGGTCTGGAGATGAGGGTCCAGATTGATTCCTCTAATTTTGCAATTGCTGCCTGGGAGAATCTCTTTCAACTAATACTTCCGAAGCTCAGAATCCCGGCAGGGTTAAGTCCTGAGATTTCAATTCTCGGTTTTTCTACTTACCTGTAGGATAAAGAGGCGAGTGCTGCCTCCAAAGCGAAAAACGTGCCCAACGTGAACTTTGCAATAGGTGTGCGGTGGGATGCGGGTTTTGTTGAGGAAAGTGCCGTGGGTACTGCCCAGATCATAGAGGTAGAAGCCCTGCCCGTGGCCGTCGCATTCCCCGTCCGGGTCGGGCGTCCTGTGCTGCAGCACGGCGTGGTGTCGAGACACCGAAGGGTGTTCCAGGCACACGTCACAGCTAGACAGCCTTCCGAAAAGGCAACAACTCGTCCCTTCCAAGTTACGGGTGCCAACGATGGTGCCACCCTTCAGAGTCTCTAGGCTGTACGGGGCCGTGGCTGGGCTGCCCCACGGCGGCTCTTGGTACGGCGGAGCTCTCGCGGGGACGCCAGGGGAAGAAACCACCGCCGGGGGACGCAGCTTCTCACCCCTGTTCTCCCCGCTGTCCGGCCGAGGCGGCGGGACGTCGGGCTCCCCAGAGTCGGGGTCCGGCAGCGCCGTGGGACATTCCTGCTTCCCCTCCCCAGGGTTTGTGGGACTGGCGGCGGGAGCCTTACCCCGCCCTGCTGGAGGCGATGGCAAGGCTGGCTTCTTAAAGCCGCCACTGTGTTCTTGAGATGTGGATGAGGATGCGGGTGGCTCCGGCAGAGACTGAGTTTCAGCCATCCTCAACTGGGTGCAGCCGTGAAATGTGTTCCCAGGAAACCTCACCCTTCGCGCTCTCCGTTCCGCTCCACGTCTCCCTCTTCCCGGCTCCTAGCGGCCTTTCTGGGCGGCGAGGGTAGAGCTGCTCCTCACAGCCCAGGGCATTGTAAAGCGGTGTGTAACACGGGAAGGTCATAATATCCGAAAAAGGGCTGTCGTGGTGCGGTGCAGAAGGGGACATCTTTAGATGCTGCAACAGGATTGTAATGACTTCCTTTGGCATACTCCGCTTGAAAAGAGGCGCTTCCGGCAGCCTCGGCCCCATAATTAACAAGCCAGCCTTCCAGGCCTGACCTGGTCCTCGCCTTCGGCGTACTCCGAGTGGGAGTCGGACAGCCGCCCAGTCCGCTCCTGGAACGCGGCCTTTTTTTACCGGGGTTCAGGTCCGGAGGTCCCCATCTTCCGGCTGCCCTGGACGCCTGGCATCCCCACGATCCTGTGATTGCGCCTGCGCCCTGCTGACCGTGACCGAGGACACCCCCGGAGAAACTTGGGCATTCCTTAGGTTCGGTACCAGCTCTTCCTGCTCCTTTTGGTGAAGTTAGGGAAGAGGGAAAATTTTTATTAGTTCTTTCATTCATTTATTCTTTCGGAAAGGAATTGTTGAGGCAGCATAGTTTAGTGGTTAAGATTGCCGGCCCTGGAGCCCGTCTTGACTTTTAACCTCTGCATTTGTGACACTGAGCAAGACACTGGGCCTCAGCTTCCACATCTGAAAAATGGATATAATAATGGTATTCACAGAGTTGTTGGGAGAATTGACGTAAGCAATAAAGATGAAGCCTGGCACTCAATAAATGCCAGGCATTGCACCAAGACAATGACCAATCACAGGTGGGTGGGAGAATAAAGTACTAGTTAACGTCCACGGATAAATGCTGTGACAGAGGCATGCAAAATGATGTGAGAATATAAGGAAGGGGTGAATATGGGGTAGTGATTAGGGTGGTGACATGAGGTATCCTTAAGAAGGAATTCAAGACTGATAGGGATGTGGCATGTGGGAGGTTATTTCTGACAGAGATCACAGTTGTGGCATTCTCAAGAATCTGAGCATTATGATATTGTTAAAACCAAGAAAGCTCCTCCTATGTGCTTCCACCTTAAGGACAGCACTTACATGATGTTTTCATATTGAGATGTTTTGTTTCTGTTTCTCTCCCTTCCCTCAGGGCAGAGAGCTTGCACTATTGATCTTCATCTCCTCACATAATGTCTGGCATTCAGTAAACATTTGTTGAACTCGAAGAGACATATGGGCAATGTATCTGGAAAGGTGGGTTGAAACCTGATGGTGAATTTTGTTGAATGGTAAGCCAAAGAACTGAATTTTTCCAAGAGACAGGGGAAGCCATTAGGTTTGAATTTTAAAAAGATTAAGCCTACTGGGCATGGTGGTACATATCTATAATCCCAGCACTCTGGAGGCTGAGGTAGGAGAGTTGTTGACCAGTCTAAACTATAGGGAAAGCCTGTCTCAAAAAAAAAAAAAAAAAAAAAGCCTAGCAGCAGTGCGAAGAATACATTAGACACAAAAAGAGACTAGAAGATAGGATATCAGTTAGGAGGCAGGAGAAATCTCTTAGATTCTTCCTTATGTATATCAGAAGTTGAAAGCATAAGACTAGATTAAAAGTTCATATATTTTTCACCAGCATCAATTAAAATGTTCCCATGCTGACACACACACACACACACACACACACACACACACACACCCCTACCTGTTAGTATTTTTGACGCTGCTCCCTTTCTCCTATTGATCCAGCACAGGCCTAAGTATCATATCTTTTAAATTGTTAGGATGAAGCATGATGTTAGTTCTGGTAATGAGTTAGAGAAGTGAAATAGAAAAATATTGATGCTAGAGCCCCAGACACATTGCAGCTGTTCATCTACTAATGGCTCGGATTCTACCCCATGGTTCAGTCAAGAGGAATTGTCATTGTGTGATAGTGATTGCATCTAACAGTTAAATTTCTCTTGATTTTTTCAGGGAGAACATCTTTGGTCCTACAGTTTTGCTAACACTGACATTTTTCAAAGTGGTCTGAGACAATTTGCTTTTTATGTAAATAACTGCCTAGACTTCACATTTTTCACTACAGAAGCCTATAATCTACAGTTGACCAAGATTTAAACACATTAGTTTTAGGATATCATCTACATTAAACTTGAGACCTCTTTCCTTCTTATTCCAAAATGTTAAGATACTGGGGAGAGATACCAATATCATCAAGCCAGACCAACAGAAGTTCCTTTGATCTGCTCCCACGGGAGTTCCGTCTGGTAGAAGTACATGACCCACCCCTGCATCAACCCTCAGCCAACAAGCCCAAGCCCCCTACTATGCTGGACATCCCCTCAGAGCCATGCAGCCTCACCATCCATACCATTCAGTTGATCCAGCACAACCGACGTCTTCGCAACCTTATTGCCACAGCTCAGGCGCAGAATCAACAGCAGACAGAAGGTATAAAGACTGAAGAGAGTGAACCTCTTCCCTCCTGCCCTGGGTCACCGCCTCTCCCTGATGACCTACTACCTTTAGATTGTAAGAATCCCAACGCACCATTCCAAATCCGGCACAGTGACCCAGAGAGTGACTTTTATCGGTAAGGCAAAGCTTTGCTGTATCTTGCTTTTCTTAAGTAATCTCAATGACACTGTTAAGCCGGTAATAGTATTTCCATTTCCACATGAGAAAACAGAATAAGAGTCAATTCACTTGGCCATGGTTGCTTAAGTTATTAGTGGGAAGTCTTTGTCTTGAACCGAACTCTTTAGAACCAGAACTGGTGTTTTTCCGTTTTCTGAGGCAACAGAAATTTATTGAGTGCATATTACGTGCCAAGTACTTCAGTATGAACAAAGTAATACCCTGGTATGCAAAAAAAGTCCTCATAGTCCTCAGAGTCCAGTTTATTTTATGTAAAATGCATCCTGTGGGTTTAGCTTTGTGTCTTCAAATTGGATTCCATGGACTTATTCTGATATTAAGAATCTACAAGTCTATTCGAGAGTTTTTTGTTTTGTTTGGGGATCAAACCCAGGACTTTGCACATGCTAGGCAAGCACTTTACCACTGAGCTACATCCCAACCCAAGAATTTTTAAATTTTATTTTCATTTTAATAACATCATGTAAGAAATAATGCAAAAGTATTCTTGATCAGTGTAACCCAAAATCTGGCCCAGGACCAGTAACATCAACATTACCTGGGAGCGTGTTAGCAGTGCACTTGCCACCTAGCATATTAACTCAAAATCTGCATTTTAACGAGATCTCTGGGGGAGTCATATGTGCATTTAGGATTAAGAAGCTCTTTTCCAGATCTTCCGAATGACTTTTTTATAACCTAGTGGTGATACTAGATTGCAGTGTGTAAGTTCGTATTCAAAACCAGTTATTTTTATTTTTCTTTTCATTTCAAAATTTGTCAAACCTACAGAAAACTTCAAATAATAGTACATTATTTGAATGTACTATTTGAGCATCCAAATACCCTTCATCTGGACTCACCAATGATTAACATTTTACCATATTTACTTTCTCACGTATGTACGCATGTGACACATGTATACACACACAAACAAGCTTTTCTTTTTTTTTTTTTTTTTTTTTGGTGGAACTTGGTTTGAACTCAGGGCTTTACACTAGTGAAGCTAGTGCTCTACTGTTTGAGCCATACCTCCAGCCCATTTTGCTGTGGTTATTTTGGAGATGGGTCTCTTGAACTGTTTGCTGGGGGTGTCCTAGAACAGCAATCCTCTCTATCTCAGCCACTGGTGCCTGGCATTTTTTCCAAACATTTTAAAGTAACTTGTAGATATCACAATATTTCACCCTTAAACTCTTCAGCATGTATATCCTAAGAATAAAGAAATATCCATACATTATCACAATATCATTATCACATTGAAATGAACATTAATTAAATAATGTCACTAGTAAAACCATACCCAGATTCTTCCAGTTGTCTCCCAGATATCTTTAATAGACATATTTTTTCCCACATCCGAGTCTAACAAAGATTCATGCATTGCATGTGTTTGGTATGCCTCTTTAGCATCTTTATGCATTTAGGTCACTTGTCTTGTACAATTCCCCTTACTGGATTTGGTGGTTATTTTCTCAATACTAGATTCAGGCTAAAGATTTTTTGCAAGAGTACTGCAAAATAATATTGGATATCATTTATCACATCTGCCTATTGGTGATAATAGTTATTTTAATTTTCCCAAACTAATGAGAAAAGGACAAAAATAGATTTACTATGTAAGGGTTGCAGTGGACCATATAGTGTCAAGGCACTTTGTATAATTGAAGGTTCTGACTTAACTGGAATAGGAAACAATGAGGAACAACCATGTTACTACATAGATGGCATCTGCTAGCATAGATATGTCCAACTCAAAAAAATTTGTTCTGTAGCAGTCAGTACCATAGTCACATTTTGAAGGCAATGTTGTTTCAACAAAAATATTGAAAAAGTAGTATTTTTTAATTTAATTTTCATATTAAATTTATTCTACTTAAAATTTGATCAAATTATTTATTTTTTATTATCATCAGATTGTTGTATGGGGGGGTACATTGTGACATTTACAAAAGTTCTTACAATATATCATAGTTGAATTCACCCCCTCCATCATTTCAAATATCTGCTTTGTTAGTAACAGTTCTGATTATCAAAAGTTTATACCAAGTTTTTTATACATATTTTAAGAAATTATAAAATAAAAATATATTTGCATCAGCTCTTGGATGCTAAAAAATTATTTTCCATTGAAAGAAGTTTGTGTACAGGCTGGGATATATCTAAGTGGCAAAGTTCTTGCCTACCATGCACAATGTCTATGTTCTGTTCCCAGTCCTACAAGAAAAAAAATTTAAAAATTCAGCTGTTACTCAAGTAAAATGATTATTAGGCACTTTTAAGGCCCTGAGCATTTGGACCAGAGACTGGTCATGGAAATGGTGGAAATAGTAAGTGAGAGTTGTTTGGCAATTTGTTGTCTGACTTTTCATCTATTACGTGAATTGCTGCAGCTGCTGCTGAAAGATGCAGTCAAGTGGGTGGGTCGCTCATCAGGCACAAGTTTGGACCAATGAGCAGTGATTTTCTGTGCTCTGTTTTTATTTATAAATTCCTTTGTCAGGGGATGCAGAAGCAAAATAGGAAATTTCAAGAGATAGGTAATTTATTAAAACTTGTGGAAAGTTATTTTGAGGAGAGCAGGTAACTTTTCTCGGAAAGGTTAAGGTTTCTGCGGTAGTGATTAGGGACAAAGTGGTGTGTTACGAGGAGTAGGAGGTCTGAAGTCAGAGCCCTTCTGCTTATTAATTATACCTAAACGACCCTTGGCAAGCAAGTCAGCCTCTCCAAACCTCACTTTCCTTACCTGGTGATTACGAATGACAGTAATACGAGCCCTACTCATTTCATAGCATGGGATAGAATGAAAATGCTTTGTATATTTTGAGTTTTATACAACTGAATTGCCTTCTCAGTTCAAAATGGTCCCTTGCATAAGAATTACTCAGCATGTATGGAAATTATATCATGAAATAGTGTCTGAATGATACTGATAAACTTAATCCTACAAGTGATAAAAATTGAGTATTGAGTAGAAGGAAGCTTCCTTTTCACTGGATAACCTTCTATACTGCTTATGATAGACATGTGTTGCCTATTCAAACTATGTAACTGGAGGGACTTAGAGATAACGATCATCGGTAACTGAGACCTACCCTGAGAGCAGCAGGATGAAACTGAGCTATTTTCTGTAGGTGGTAAGCTGGGCCAGTGATTTCACTGGAATTTTAAAACTCCTTTGGAGAATCCTCGGCAAGAGCACTAACAACACTACCATGTTTCCACTTTCAGTGGGAAAGGGGAACCTGTGACTGAACTCAGCTGGCCCTCCTGTCGGCAGCTCCTTTACCAAGCAGTGGCCACAATCCTGGCCCATGCAGGCTTTGAGTGCGCTAATGAGAGTGTCCTGGAGACCCTAACTGATGTGGCACATGAGTATTGCCTTAAATTCACCAAGTTGCTGCGCTTTGCTGTGGATCGGGAGGCCCTGATGGGACAAACTCCTTTCCCCGATGTTATGGAACAGGTATTCCACGAAGTGGGTATTGGCAGTGTGCTTTCCCTCCAGAAGTTCTGGCAGCACCGCATCAAGGACTATCACAGTTACATGCTGCAGGTGAGGTCGCTCCGTGAGAATTGGGGTTTAGGGGTGTTCATCAGGATCCCACAATACTTGCTGGATTATGCAGAACACAGGGAACAGAGTGAATTTAACATACTTTTCTCATGGTCTCAGTTGTGTTCCATTGGCCTCATCACTGACCTGGCCACATACCAGAGCCTTCTTTAATCAGTGGACTGCCCCATTCATTGACACACAGGTACATGGAGTCTGAGAGGATGTTGGTTAGCATTCTTTTATTCAACAAATATTTATTGAGGGCTTATTGTGAATCAGGTATCATGGGATATTTACAGTGAACAAGACAAGGTCTTTGAGCTCACAGTCTTGTTGAGGAGAAAACCAGATAAACAAATAATGACCATAATAATTTCCGAAAACATTAAGTGCTATCAAAAACAAAGCCAACCTGGAGTGAGGTAATGTTGCCTGGAGGATGCAGGGGGAACACCATTTTTGGTTAAACCACAAATATCTCATCTCTTCAGTCCTTAGGTGTTAGTTAAGCAAATCATTTGTTCATGGCTTTCATTTCCCCAAATCTAAAATGATTAGTAATTTTTTTTATTTTGTTTTTTCCTTTTTTTTGGTGGGACTGGGGTTTCAACTCAGGGTTTGCCACTTGCAAAGCAGGCACTGTACCTCTTGAGCCACACTTCTAGTCCATTTTGTTCTGGCGATTTTAAGAGATGAGATCTTGCAAACTGTTTGCCCGGCTGACCTCAAACTGATCTCCCAATCTCAGCCTCCCAAGTAGGTAGGATTACTGGTGTGAACTACCAGTGCCTGGGCAGTTTTTAACATCCTACAATAAAGACTGCTAAATAATGCAGATTTCCCGTGTTTCAGTGTTCACCTGGGGTATACATGCCAAGCGTTAGGGTGTTTTTTTTATTGTTGTTTTTGTTTTGTGAGTCAGAGTCTATGTGTCCCAGGCTGGCCTTAAATTATTCTGTTGGTTGGTTTTATTTTTATTTGTGCTACTGGCAGACCTCAAATTCTTGATCCTCCTGCCTCAGCCTCCCTAGTCCTGGGATTACAGGTGGTATGCCACCATATTAGTTTTTATAGACAAAAATGTAGTCTTTTGTCCCAGTTCTATTTTTATTTTTTTACCTTTATGTAATTTTTTTTGGGGGGGATACTAGAGTTTGAATTCAGGGCCTCGTGCGTAGTAGGCAGGTGCTCTACTACTTGAGCCACACCCTACCCACCTTTATGTAACTTTAGTTAATTATAGAAACATTTTCCAACATATTTTCATTACATGGGTAACACTTTTAAATGCCAAGTTAATACCTTAAGCACATTACTTCTATTGGCAGAGGAAATTGCTTTGTTATTGTTTTGTGGCGCTGGCAATTAAACTCATGACCTCTCACATGCTAACCTAAGCATATATTGAGCTACACACCCAGCCCTGGCAGTGGAAGTTTTAAAACTTATCTATTACTCATATTGTTGGCTTTTCCATGGGATGCCACAAGCTGACTATCCAACTTGCTTCTAACATATCCTTGGAAAATTAACTCTTGCTTGCCGACAGATTAGTAAGCAACTTTCTGAAGAATATGAAAGGATTGTCAATCCTGAGAAGGCCACAGAAGACACTAAACCTGTGAAGATAAAGGAAGAACCTGTAAGTGACATCACCTTTCCTGTCAGCGAGGAACCGGAGGCTGACCTTGCTCCTGGAGATCAGTCCCTGCCCATGGGAGTCCTTGGGGCTCAGAATGAGCGATTCCCATCTAACCTGGAGGTGGAAGCTTCACCACAGGCTTCAAGTAAGAGAAATCAGTGTGCTTATTTTGATTCTGGGAGATCTGCCAATCTCAGCCTTAGCAGTATTTTGGAATCAAGCTTTGGAGGTGGGAGAAAAAAAAGTAGGAATGGGCAAAATGGAAAGTCCTAAAACAAATACAGCTTTAGTCATCTGGAGGTATGAGAATTTACCTCTTTCACTAGTGATGAGAGGACCAGCACAGCTTTACAGACATTTTTAAAAATAATCTCCAGTTATGTTGGGTGCTGTGGCTTATGCCTATAATCCTAGCTACTCAGGAGGCAGAGATCAAAGTTTGAGACTAGCTCAGACAAAACGCAAGACCCTATTTCAAAATCACTGAACACAAAGGACTGGCTCAAGTGGTAGAGCACCTATCAAGTATGAGGCCTTGAATTCAAACCCTAGTATCCCACCACCCCCAAAAAATAGTAATAATCTCCAGATAGAATATGGATGCAATGTGTGCTGTCTTGTTGATTTACAAGATGATTACAGCTTCTCCAGCTGGTTGGACACATACCCTTTTTTCTTTAGTATTCTGCGTCAGTCCTTCCTGATGCTTATACTTGATGGATGAGGAGTGTTAATTGCTCAAGGATGTTTATATAGTTGAATTTCCTTTCTAGAAGACTACCAACAATTGGAGATGAAAGGGACTGAAATAAGACTACCCTGTTGGAGGCAAGTGGCTTCTTAAAGGTAGATACTGTGATAAACTTAGGAACCAGGACAACTCACTCATTACTTTTCTTAATTAGGAAATTTTATTATTTATTAATTTATTTATTATGTAGCCCAAGATGGCCTCAAATTCAAAGCCTCTGCCTCCCAAGTGCTATGATTATAGATAATGAAGTGGCCACGAGGCCTGGCCTGATTCATTACTTGAGTTACTTAAGTTGCAGATTCATCCAGGCATTCAGTTATTTACAAATACAAATTGTCACTTCATCAATGCACAAATAATTCAAATAACAAATCCTCAAATGTGGACTAAATGGAATTAGGCCAGTGTTGTAAGTGTTGGGAAGACAGACCTTCACTAGGGAAGAAGTAATGATCACAGCAGGACAGCATTGCACTAATAGAGAGGTTGGGGGATGGGTAAAGACGTAGAGACCAGTGGACAGGTAGGGAACTGCTGTCCGCATTATCATTAAGTTTTCATAATGTGAGAGAGGACTAGAGAGACACAATCAGAAAATGAAAACAAGACAGCCCCATAAAACAAGTAAGGACAGGCAAACTAAGTATCTGAACAAGGCCTTTGGCCATGAGACATGGAATCCTTCCACCTGCAGTTTTACTTTCTGGTTTAGGGGAAAATGGAAATGAATGCGCTACAAGAAAGAAAGGTGAAAGATGTTGAAAGGAAGACATTTAGACTTAGTAGCTTGGGGATAACTTTTGAAGCAGAGGATAACAACCATATGCTCCAGCCAAGTACAGACTCAGTGAAAACAGAGCTCAGGGGACATTACCTCACCCTAAGAGGGCTATTCATTTATTCATTAGTTGGCTTATCATTAGGTACATGTTCTTCCCTCCCTTTCTAGGTACAGAGGTAAATGCTTCTCCTCTTTGGAACCTGGCCCATGTGAAAATGGAGCCTCAAGAGAGTGAAGAAGGCAACGTGTCTGGGCATGGTGTGCTGGGCAGTGATGTCTTTGAGGAGCCCATGTCAGGCATGAGTGAGGCTGGGATCCCTCAGAGCCCAGATGACTCAGACAGCAGCTATGGTTCCCACTCCACGGACAGTCTCATGGGGTCATCACCTGTTTTCAACCAGCACTGCAAGAAGAGGATGAGGAAAATATAAATAGTTAGAGAGGGACATTTTCAGTCTAGACCTACAACCCAACAGAAAACCTTGTTGTATTAGAATTTGCTTCCATAAACTGATTTAATTCCTATTCTTAAATAAACTGGGCTTTTCTTATTTCATAGAAACTGGACTTAACCAAGTAAGGTTACATTTTACTTTGGCATTGTTTTTATGGTTTTCCACAGCAACCAAGCTACTGTTCACAGATGGTCACAGTGCTGGCATAATGAGACCAAAGCACTGTCCCCAACTATTATTTCATTGTGTGATGACACATATTCCTTAGTTTTTCTGCAGCTATTTCTCTTACACAATTGAGAACCATATCACTTTGACCTTGCAGTGGTGAGGACCTCAAACCTGTGCTTGAATAGACTCACATGAACATATGCCAATATCAGATGTCACGTGATTTAACTTGATTCATTTTTGGTTCAAGTCACTGAGAATCCAGTACTTATACCTGACAGGAAATAGTGAAACACAGCAAAGCTTATCTATCAGTTGTATAGATAGATAACAGTTATACTGTCTTTGCTGCCTGTGAAGTCTTAAAAAATCAGAGATCTTAATGATGTAACTGTTTTGCTTATTCAGCACTCATTCTTATCGCACCATGTATTTTCTTTTCCTCTAGACTTAGTCCATCTAGCCTCATCCTTTTTGCCCTATTCTGCTGACTTGGACTTTTAAATATTTTTTACCATGCATATTTTTCTAATCATTCCTTTCACGTTCTCCTTTGTGAAGAAGGCAGACAGGACCAGTCCACAGACAGGCTTTATTTCCTTTGTTGCCATCTGGCATGGTCATCACATAGTGCTCCATTTACCTGGCAGAGATCCACACCTATACACTGTGCTTCTGCTACTGGATGGGCAGCCTTTAGAAGAGTAATAAACTTGCCAAGCGTAGTGAAGCATGCCTGTAATCCCAGCACTAGAGGCTGAGGCAGGAGGATCATGAATTTAAGAACAGTGTGATCTTCATTATCAAGACCCTATCTCCAAAAACAAACACCTTTCAGCTTCACATCAAACCTGAACAACTTTACTGTTGTTCATACAGCACATTTGGACTCTTTGACATCTAATAGACTAAATATTTATCAAGTAAATGAAGTAGCACTGTAGCGACAAGGAGTAATTAGTGATGTGTGCTTTGTAACTTGGTAATTAATGCCAGCATGGTAAATTAGCTGGTGAAATTTAGACCACTCCTTTAATAGAAGCCAAACTAAGGCTTCAGTTAGTACATTATTGAGTGCCTGAAGTGTCCGGCATTGAAAATAAAGAGGAATGTGATTATAATAAAATAAGGTAATAATTTATCTATTTAAAATATTCATAAGTTTGCCATTTATTCACCCTTAGCAAACTAAAACCTGTCCTTTTCTAGCATTAGATGTATTTCCCCTTGTTTATGAAGGGAAGCAGCCGTGAAGCAGTCTGTGCATAAGTAGCCATCTAGTTATTTAGTTACTAGTTCAGCAAATGTTTGAGTGCCTGTTGTGTGCTAAGTCCTGGGCAAGGGATACAAAGATGATGAAGTCTTTGTCCTTGCCCTTATTGAGCTAATGGCATGGGGAGACAGGTTACTTTTAAGGAACAGAATGTGATCAGAGACACTACAGACAAAAACCAAGTATGTTTAGAGGGGTTTTTTTTGGTAGTTTATCTCCTTAAAGAACAGGTCAGGCTGGGCATAGTTAGTGGTACACACTTGTAATCCCAGTTCTCAAGAGGCTAAGGCAGGAGGATCATGGGTTCAAAGATAGCATGGCCTACATAACAAGGCCATCTTAAAAACAAAACAAAAAAAATGGACATAGTCAAATTTTTGGACGTCTCCTCATAGGTATAAAATATTGAAGTTAATACTTTATAGTAATATACTTATATTGCTTTAGAATGCTTAAATTTCAGAATAGACATCACATGGTCAACATCAGGGTACTTGATACTGTGAGGATTGGCACCTGCTTCACTTAACCTGGAATGTCATAGGCGGTTAAAGAGGCGGAGCAGTGTTTGTAAACTACTGTGCACTAGAACCACCAGGAGGCTTATTAAAAAAAGGTTGCTGGATATACCCAAAAGACTGTTACTCCAGAGGCACCTGCACATCCATGTTTATTGCGGCACTATTCACAATAGCCAAGTTATGGAAACAGCCAAGATGCCCCAGCACTGACGAATGGATTAAGAAAACGTGGTATCTATACACAATGGAATTTTATGCAGCCATGAAGAAGAACGAAATGTTATCATTCGCTGGTAAATGGATGGAATTGGAAAACATCATTCTGAGTGAGGTTAGCCTGGCTCAAAAAACCAAAAATCGTTATGTTCTCCCTCATATGTGGACATTAGATCAAGGGCAAACACAACAAGGGGATTGGACTATGAGCACATGATAAAAGCGAGAGCACACAAGGGAGGGGTGAGGATAGGTAAGACACCTAAAAAACTAGCTAGCATTTGTTGCCCTTAATGCAGAGAAACTAAAGCAGATACCTTAAAAGCAACTGAGGCCAATAGGAAAAGGGGAACAGGTACTAGAGAAAAGGTTAGATCAAAAAGAATTAACCTAGAAGGTAACACCCACGCACAGGAAATCAATGTGAGTCAATGCCCTGTATAGCTATCCTTATCTCAACCAGCAAAACCCTTGTTCCTTCCTATTATTGCTTATACTCTCTCTACAACAAAATTAGAAATAAGGGCAAAATAGTTTCTGCTGGGTATTGGGGGGGGGAGAGGGAGGGGGCGGAGTGGGTGGTAAGGGAGGGGGTGGGGGCAGGGGGGAGAAATGAACCAAGCCTTGTATGCACATATGAATAATAAAAGAAAAAAAAAAAAAAAAAAAAAGGTTGCTGGGCACACACAGGAATTTCTCATGCAGCTGGTTAGGAAGGGTGCCCTTAAGTTTCCCAGTACATGCTGAGGCTTCTGGTGCAGAGACCAAACCAAGATCCATTAAGTCAAGTATAGAGAAGCCAGGGCCAACACTTCTAATGGCTGTCATGTATAGAACGTACACCTAGCTAACATCCAAGGCCTCTGAATAAATCACCAAGGATACTCAGTAAGTTTAAACTACAATACAAACGGCCTGGCTCTGTGCCTGGTTAGGAGGTGGGTGTATGGGAAACTACACATCACTTCCCTATTGAGACAGGTTTGGACATCAGGCTTTAAGCCTCTCTGGTGAACAGTAGTGAATCTACTTTTATCTAACTTTCTATTTTGAAATCATGACAGGCAGGCTTTCAGCAAAGTTACAGTAAAAAACTCTTTATCCACCTCACCATTTTAACAGGATTTTTATTCAGAAATTGTGTTTTACCAACTTCCTTTGACAAACCACATGTCCTATAATGAGATAACCAAGGTTTTATACCAGCGCTGATTGAATGCCAAAGGTGCTCCACTGTCACTCCAGACAAGCTCATGTCACCTCTTTCCTTTTGTGCTAAAAGAAGGCCAACTCGTAATGTAGAGAAATAGAGGCTATGGATCCAGCTGAACAGAGATTTGAAGTGGTCATCAGGACAGTGATTCTGATTCCATCTGCCGCAAAAGCACCTGAGTTCAAATGATGAAACTAGACATTTTAGGCCTGAATGGATGTTGGCTTCCAAGAGCAGTCAGTATATCCTTCCTTCCATAAATACAGGAAAAGGCCAAAAGACCATTGGCATCTACCAGCCAGCTCCAAGAGTCTTCCATCTCTGACTTCATTTGAGTCAGATTTCCCTCAAAAGAGAAATTTGCTATTCTGAAGATAATTGTTCTTTATTGTAACGGCGAATCATAGGAGTTCCTTCGCATGGAGTTGCAGAATCTTAGACTTCTAGAAACAAGTGAAATTTCTTAAAAGTCTCCTATGTGTTGTTTCTCTTCCAGTACTGTGCCATTGATTCTTGCATAAAATTCTGAAATGCTGGCTCTTCACGGCTTTCCTCTGTAACTGCAAGGAAAATGAAAGGGAGTTCTTTTATTTATTTATTTTTCCTTTATTCATATATGCATACAATGTTTAAGGGAGTTCTTTTAAAACCCTTGCATTAGGCTGGGTGCTGATGCCTCATGCCTTTAATCCAAGCCCAGGCAAAAGTTAGCAAGAACCCCCATGTCAACCAATAAACTGGGCATGGTGGCACACACTTGTCATTCCAGGAGGATCGAAGTTAAAGCCTGCCCAGGTATAAACATGAGACTCTATCCCAAAAATAACTAAAGCAAAAAGGGCTACGGGCATGGCTCATGTGGTTGTAGAGAACTTGTCTAGGAAGCACGAGACACTGAGTTCAAACTCCAGTACCACAAAAAGAAAAAAAATTAGATAGTGTTCATAATTCAGAAAACTATACCAGGTAGAAACAGGCTCCTAGACTCATTCTACCCTCACCATGATAGTCCAGATCTTTGCTAAGGCCGCCTTATGTATTCATTTTTTCTTTTCTTTTCTTTCTTTTTTTTTTTTTTTTGTGAGATAGGATCTCACTATGTACCCTAGCCTCACCTCTTGCAATCCTCCTGTCTTGGACACCCAAGTGCTGGTATTATCAAAGAGTGCTACCACGCCCAAATGTTACGTATTTTTAAAACAAAACACTTGTGCTTATAGATGCAGCTCAGTGATAGAGCACATGCTTAGTAAACATGAGGCCCTAGGTACATCCCCAGCACCAGATTGAAAAACAAAATACTAAGGCTAGTGCATGCTTGTAATCTCAGCTACTTGGGAGGTGAAGGTGGGAGGATCCCAGTTTTAAGCAGCCTGGGCAAAGTTAGCACAAGACCCTATCTAAAAAACAAGTTAAAAGCAAAAAGACTGGCTCTAAGTGGTAGAGGGCCTGCTTAGCAAATGCAAGGACCTGAGTTCAATCCCCAGTACAGCAAAAACCAGACTAAAACAAAACAAAAAAAAACCCACCAAAATACTAATAAAAGATATAAACCTAGATTCTTCAAATTGAACTAAGACTTAAAGACACAACACAAATAAAAGGCCTGTGATCAGCTCAATATTAACCAATCCTTGGGAAGGCCAGGAATTCTCAATACAGAAAACACTGCTGGTGTTGTGTCCTTTACTGCCTCAAGCTTAAGGTCTTCTCTCAACAATGATACTCTCCTGAGCAAACTGCAGCAGCTGTTTTCATGAGCCACTTCAGCCACTTCTCACCTCTGTGATCAATGTCATCAGTGTCACTGTCAGCTTCCTCATCCTCTTCATCCAAGGTTCCTCGGGTCAGGATCAAGTCAGAAGGATCCAGCACAGGAGACAGGCTGTCTGAAGTGAAAACACCAATCAGTACATACGTGTCTTCAAGAAGATGAAGCTGAATACATAAGCAACTGTGATTATCATTGGCAGCATGGGAGTATTCACGAAAATATAAACACAGGATCTTCCTTCTTCTAAATGTGTTTTTAACCTCGCTCATCATTTCTAAGTGATTTGGTTCACAAAGTGCAACAGTGCAAGAAGTCCTACTGTTTCAGCTGAAGAAAATGCAAAACACTTGTCTCAGGAGTGTGGAGTTCTGTTTCATGAGCTCACAGCTTGGAAGAGGCTCTGGTTTTTCCTATGAAGGCTAAAGACATAAGAGCAGATCCAGCGAGCGAGCGAGTGACTCACTGTCACAGTGTGGCATGCTAAGGAAGCTTCCTGGTGGAATACAAGTTCAGTGAGGGTGTGAAGTACAAAGCAAAATGATAATGAGTACAGCCATCAGGGTATCATTTGAGAAATGGGGGATAGGTAAAAAATGGGAAATCAAATATAGTAATTGAGGTAAAATTTCCTTAGAGAAACTGGTAAGGGCTCACCCCTAATAATCAGAAGAAAATCTAATTGAGAAATCTCTGGACCCCATCTCAACCAATAGCTGAACACAGTGGCACACCTGTCATCCCTATGGTGGGAAGTGTAAAATAGGAGGATTGCAATCCAGGCAGACCTGAGGAGGGAAAATGAGACCCTATCTCAAAAATAACCAGAGGAAAAAAGGGCTGGAGGCTGAAGCAGGAAAGAGCCTACCTCCCACAACTTTACTACTGTAAAATTCTGCCAAAAATTTGTTCCCTGAATCAAATCATGAGGCAACATCAGAGAAACCCAAATTGAAGAACATTCTGTAAAATAACTATCCTGTTGTCTTGAAGAAAAGAGAGAGAGAGATAAAGGAATTGTTCCAAACTAAATATGACTAAAGGATATGAGAATTAACTACAATTCCCATTCAGGATTTTCTCTTGCTCTAAAGGGCAAATGGCTCTCTCCAAATAGGTCTTATGTATTAGACAACAGTATCGTGTCCATGTTAGTTTCCTCACTTTTGACAACTACACTGAGGTTAAGAGAGAATACACACAGAAGTTCTTAAAGTAAAGGAGCATCATATCTGTGCCTTAGTTTTACATAGTCCTATGTACTTGTATGATATGTAAAGTCATGCACACACGTGTGTGTGTGTAAAAGAAAGGAGACAGAAAAAATTAAATGTATAAATGTGACAGAAGTTAACATTTTGGGAATCTCAAAAGCAATAGCAATTCTTTTTATTACTGTCACAACTCTTCTGTCACAGTAACTGTAAAAAAACTGGGTGGGAGGGTTAAGCTGTCACAAAAAATGCCAGAGCAGACATCAAGTGTCTTGTCAAAGTAAAGTGAAAAACTTCCTCCAAGGAATGTAGAGCTGCATATAATCTTGAGGTATTTGCTGTTCCAACACATGCATGCAGGGGCACACACACACACACACACACACACACAAACACACACGAGGACATCATGTGCATATATTCACATTTCCTCTATCCTTTTCTTCTTCGCTTTCTCATATATAGATGTATTCCTGCTGAGTGGAAATAATCTACCCTCTGTACTTGTAACACCAAGATCCCTTCAATACCTTTGCCAGTCCCTGTGTCCAAGGCTACAGAGCCCATGTCTTTCCGAAGGCGTTCCAGTTGTTCTTTCTGCTGTTCACTCTGTGCACTCGCCTATATATAGAGGAAATGTCCTCATATTAATAGAGGAGCTCCTCTGGAGCTGGGTTTATAACTGAGTGGTCAAGTGTGTGCTCAGAATGTGCAAACCCCTGGGTTCAATCCCCAGCATGAATAAAACAAAATGAAATAATAAAGGAATATAAATGCAGTCTTTTGAGTGGAAATGAGGAACTATACAAATACTAGAGGCTGGTAAGGGATGACTGATGGGGACACAGTAAGTGTGGGCCCAGGTGATAAAAGAAGTTCAGACTAGGGTAATGTGCAGCTGAATTTGAGGGTTCAGAAATTAGATCCAAAAATACATTCCCAAAACCTCAAGTATACCTATCAAGGAGGCTCAGTGATTATGGACGCAATGGAGGCTCTAAGGGCAGACACTTGATCATTTGAGTAGGGTTGTGAGCTACCTCTCTATTCTTCAGCAAAATTCTACAACCAGACTTTAAACTGATCCTGGAGAATGGGTAGAAGTGGAGCATAATAACAGAAAAATCTGATTTTCAGAACTTCAAATATAAAGAGAAGAAAAATTATTCAGGGACCTTCTGCATATAGACAATATACACACAAATTTACAAATTTAAATTAACAAGTATTTGAAATTATATATGATGGCACCTGCTTATATACAATCCCAGCTATTCAGGAAGCTGAAGTAGGAAGATTGCTTGAATCCAGAGTTTGAGACTAGCCTGCGGACTATGAAGAGACCTTGACTCAAACAAAAAACAACAGGTATTTAAAAGAGACAATGTAATTTTCTTAGTCAATTATATCTCAATAAATCTGGAAAAAAAATAAATGAAGGTAAAATTTTAAAAATACATTTGAAAGTCAAAATAAAAGCATTTATGTCAGGAAGATTGAGGTTGTTTGGTTTTTTGTTTTGTTTTAAAAGCCTAGGCCTAGCTATGCTGTCCATTTTGGCCTCTAAATCCTGAGCCCAAAGGATTCTCCCCCATCAACCTCTTGAGTAACTAGGACAACAGGCCTGTGCCACCATATCTGGGCTAACATATACAGTCTCCTTTCTTACCAGTGATTTCTTCAGACGTTCATATTCAGGACGATACTCCCTGGAAAAAGAAACACTTTCTAAATTCCTTCCCTGAATAATCTACCCTGCCTGCCCTGACCCTTATCACTTTTTTTTTTTAAATGGGTGCTGCATTTTTTATTTTGATTTATTCATTTGACTCTTCTCACTTCTATTTTCCTATGACAGACAATAACAAAAGACCTTACTTCACTGAACATCCAAGGTAACATATCCTAGTCACTGAGAGTCTACCCCTGTGGGAATTCCAAGTCAAGTTCTGCCCCAATCCAGAGGTGTGGGGAGGTAAACAGGAAAAGACACAAGCTTCTGACTGCTAGGCTACAAAAATTAAATACTAAAGACACCATAACCAAGGAGCTCATCATTCATGTGAGGTAAACATGTTGGATGAGCAAAAGAAGACAGACCTGTGTTGCTCAAGAAGCCCAACATATAAAGAAGTGATGAACCTGAGCAACAACAAAAGCATACGGAAGAGGTTCTGTCCTGAGCCTTGAGAATACACAAAAACCCTACTCTTGATGAAGCAACATGAAAAAAATGTGCCTGAAAACCACAAAGTGGTTGTTAGGGTTTTGCAAAGCATGAAGCCAAAGCAACCTGCTAATCAGCAGCCTATTGGGCCATGCCATTAAGTATATAGGTGCTCTGATTCCACTTTCGTTTAGTTAAAAGGACTTCAGTTCTAGCAATGGCAATAGTTTTAACAGCCATTTATTATGACATGGAATTACTGTGTCAGTAATTGTGCTAAGAACTTTACACAAATTTTCTCAAATAAAACTCACAGTGACCACAGTACCAAATCCAGTCCACTGCAGGTATGTGCAAATAATGTGTTACATGAACACAACCATGACCATTTGTTTGTGAACTGTCTATAGTGCTTTTGTCCTACAATGGAATAAGTAAGTAGTTGCCCACCAAGCCTGTAATATTTACTAAGTGGCTATTTACAAAAAAGGTCTGATGACCCCTGCCTCTCAATCATTCATGTTTTTTAATAAAATGAATGGAGACTTGTTGCCTAAGTGTGGTCAAGTTCAGTACATATATATAAGGCAAATAAACTACACATATGAATAATAAAAACCTAAATTATCTGCCTAGCAAAACAGCTACCATATTAGCATTGTGGGTTACTGACAATGTCATCAACATATTCTTCCTTCACTCTCACCTTTCATACTCTTCTGCAGCACTGGTGACCTGCACACACAGCTCATCAAAGCCAGTGCCTAGAACAGCAGAGACGCCTACCACTCTGAGTGAGCTGTAAAATTCATCTAATACCAGGCTCATTGAACGAGTCAGGTTACTGACATACGTCGTCTCTTGATTCAAGGCATCTTGGAAAGTCTCAAAATCCTGCATCCATTCCACAGCAAAGGTGTGATCAATGATGTCAGTCTGTACCAGGGAGAAAGCCAACTATCAGCAACCAGAAATGAGGTCATGGACCAAACAACGGCCACAGTTATTTTTTTAATTAAGTGATGAAAACAAAGAGCATATCATTCATACACTTTCCTTCTCTGTCTCCCCCATTTCCTCCTCATTGCAACAAGCATAAAGAAGTTTTGTTTTTCTTTCTTTAATTGCTATTTCCAATAGATGGATTATCCCTCCACTATTTGCACAGTCCTGATTCTGAGGCATAACTGATACTGTATGGTTGGGGCTTAATCTATCCTAAAATTACTTCTTTGGATGACAGTCAGCACTAAATATTCACTTTATGTGATCAAATGCAGCTCACTGATGTTCCTGTGATTGTTAAGTAAAACCTGAATCTGCTCTCCAGCACCTAAAGTCACCTTTCAACAACATCAAACAAGGCTCTGATACAAGAGGTATGCTGAAATCCCAACAGGCAGTATCTACTTACTTTGTTCATGACCACAATGAAAGGCAGCTTGGTTTTGTACAAGATGCTGAAAATCAAACACAGAGACAGTATTAATAAAAACACTGAAGCTTTTGTGTGCCCTGTGTCAGTCTGTTGGGACTAAGTAAAGAAAACAGGAATGGCTTCCTTCAGATTCCAAAATACTTATCCATTTTTACATGCAATTCACACAGTCTCCTCTCCCAAGAGGAGAATCACCACCAACATCACACAAGTAGCACTAACAACAACATACACACACTCATTCACACTTGGAGGAATAATGTGTTGATACTGATTCTATTTTTTGTATTTTACCAAATAATTATCATGTTTTTATTCAAGGAAGAAAATGAGCATTTATTGAATGTTTGTTACAGTGTAGGCACTGTGGTAAGCACTTCTATGTATTATCTTCTTTAATCCATACAAATGCCATGTAAATACATACAATTTTCATTTTTCAATTATACCTCAATTGAGCTGGAGGGAAAAAAATAAAAAATGTTATTTTACAGATTAAGATTTTAAATTTTTTCCACCTTAATTGAGGCAGAATTGACAAGTTAAATTTCTACATATTCAAGGTATACAACATGATTATTTTTTAAAGCACATCTTCTCTTTCCTTTTAATTAATTATCGTTTCCAGTGCTGGCAATCAAACCCAGGGCCTTGAGCAGGCTAAGCATGCACTCTTCCTCTGAGCTATACTTCAGCCCCCATAATGTTTTGATCTATGTCTACACTGAAAAATGATGTCCATAGTCAGACTAATCAAATAACTGTCTTTTAAAAAATTAAGAGATGAAATAGTGCTCTTTCATGAGATTCTTATTTAGATCAATCATTTCTTGCATCTAACAAGAAGGGACATTCCAGACCTATCACAAAAGACATACATTGGTGATGGCTCTGGTGTACTCCAAAATTCAGTTCTCTCAGCTTTCGTAATTATGTGCTTCCTCCTCAGTCTTAATGCACAAAGTTCAGTGAACCATGATCCACGTCTTTCTCTCCTAATGCTATCACATTTGGGGCAAACCTGTGCATGGTAGAATTATACATAAAACTATTTTTTTTACTCTTATCTTTTTGCAACAGGTTCTCACTATGTAGCCCAGGATGGCTTTGATTTCCCCATCTTCTTCCCTCTACCTCAAGGTAGTAGGATTACAGGTGTGCACCAGCATGCCCAGCTTAGGTAAAATATTTTATTCTCCTCATGTTACAATTTCACTCTATCATAAGACACAAAAACACCATTCAGTCCAGAGGACTTCATTCTACTCAGGTTTAGATTTCTCTCAACAGGAAGCAATTATTAGAAGGTTCCTAGGCATCCACCACCTATTTTTTTAACAAGCAATAGAGGAAAATCAGAAGGTGATGAGAAAGAATGACAAGAGCACATGTGTTCTTTTCTCCTGTCTTTCCCCAACTCAAAGCCACGCTATTGAGTAGCAAATTTAAATGAACACAAATCTAGTAACACACAACCAGAACCCAAAAACCAAAGAAGGAAAAGGAGACCTCATACCTTGGTAGAACACCATGCCCCCCAATGATCAGTTACCTGCAGGCATACAGCATATTGGACATGAAAGTCACTGGATTGGTGCTTCGTGATGTGTCCATCACATAGATGACCACTGTTGGAAATGAGGATGCCTAAAGCCACAAAATAATTAAAGTCTTAGTCAGAGGGTCCTGGCTTACCCCAAATTCTTTTTCTCCCTTCCTCAGCAAGGGAGAACCACTTTAGGCAGCGTGTACAGAACTTTTCCACCTCCCTCTCATAAACAGTCCCAATTAACCAGATGCTAAGCCAGTCTAGTCCTCTAGCCACCCTCAGGAACAAGACCTAGTATACTCACCAGAGCTTCAGTGATGATTGTCCCAGAAGCTGACCAGGTGAATACCTCAATCTGTCCAGGTGTGTCAATCAAGACATACCTGGGTCAAGGAACACCATTAAAAAAGAGTTATACTTGTACAATGCTGACTATCTAAATATCTGCTGATCAAAGACTGGAATAACCTCTGCACACTGCCAAGTCTAACTTCCTGCCATAGACCTAATCTGTATAACATAGTCCCCCAGACTTTGCTTCATGTCCAATATTGATGCTAATGAGCAGGAGCAGAAGGTGGGGGATGCTGCAAATAACCACAGGGAAACTGCAATTGTTACAGAAAGACATTGACTAAAAATGAGAGCTAGGCAAAACCAGAATGCAACTCATCAGGTTTCATCAAGACAGGGGTATGGAGGGGAGAAAGAGAAGAAAATGGAGAGATAGAGGCATCCTCTTCAAGTGATTTTTACTTGAGAGGTGGAGATCGAGGATAGCAGTTCAAGAGCAGCCTGGGTAAACAGTGAGTGAGACTCCATCCCAACCAATAAATGGTTGTGGTGGTATGTGCCTTTTATCCCAGCTACACAAGAAGCATAAATAGGAGGAGCACGGCTTAGGCCAGCTCAAGCAAAAACTCCAGACCCTATTCCAAAAATAACTAAAGCAAAAAGTGCTGGGGGTGTGGCTCAAGTGGTAGAGTGCCTGCCTGGCAAGTGCAAGGCCCTGAATTCCAGTCCCCAATACCATAAAAAAAAAAAAAAAGGCAGAGAGCTTTAATACAATTTCCAAATGTATACCAATGGCCAATAAGTACATATGAAAGAGTTCAACATCAGAGTCATGGAGAAAATTACAAATCAAAGTCACAATGACATACCACTAGACTAGCTATAACGAAAACAAGAAGATAGAAGTGTTGTTGCCATTATAAAGAAACTAGGTGTGAAGATACCACATTGCTGTTCAGAACTAAAAATGGCACAGACACTAAGAACTGGGGGAGGGAAAAGAAGGAGTGGCTGCTAATGATAGATGGTCACGATCCATGCACAACTATATGAATATACTAAACATTACATTATACATTTTAAAAGGGTGAACTTTATTGTATGTAAATCATATCTCAATAAAGCTGTTTTTTTTACTTCCAAGAAAACAACCTCTAATATAATTCCTTGTTTGTAACATTTTTATTCATTATTCTTTCTTTCTCTGGATATGTGCATATAAATGTGTGGAATGCCAATTACTGAATAATGAAAATTCCTGCTACTAGGAATCACGGTGACAGCTTCATGTTTCACATATTATGCATGGTTTTAATTCTTTATATTGACCATATATTCTTTTTGAAAAAATAGTAAATTACCTTTCTCCCTTAGAAAAAGTAAACCTACCAAAAATTTAACAATAGTTAATTCTAGGTAATGACAATAAGAATCAATTGTTATTTTATATTTTGTTACTTTTTAAATTTAAAAAATAATTTTCTGGGCTGGTGGAGTGGCTCAAGTGGTAGAGTGCTTACCTAGCAAGTGTGAGGTCCTGAGTTCAAACCCCAATATCACCCCCCCAAAAAAAACCATTTTCTCCGACTCTTACACATTACATGCTCATTTGAACAATACTTAGAAAGGTATTAAAGAAGCTTTAATATCAACAACGATGGTCTCCCAAAGATAGGTAGATAAATGCAACTGGACAATCTCAAGACACCTTGAAAAAAGCCATGTAGAACAGGGGTTACAATAATTGGGAGTGGAATACTATTAAATTTAGCTCTATACTACATACCACCTCAGTAATTTTCTTGTCCACTGTTTTTCACTTCTAATAATCAATACCCTTTCAGATCCCACCCATCAGCACCCATCCTAAATCCTTGCAAAAGCCTAGAAATGTGTTGACTACAGAGTAATAGATAAGTGTTCCTCTGAAACCACTTACTTAAACGTGTTCTGAGCCTTCTCAATAAATTTCATCACCTAAAAGAAAAAAAATGCCAATTACAACAGGATCTGGGGATGGGGGCAAGGGGAGCATTTTTTATAATGGAATAAACATCAAAATTGATGTTCTTAATACTAGGATATCAACTAATGAACTCACTGAGCTAAGGAGAGCTTATATAACATCCTGGGGCACAGCACAAGGACCTGAGTTCAAACCTTGACCTGTCACTGACATTCTGGTCAAATTTTTGTTTATTTATTTTCTTTTAAAGAGCCAGGGTCTGGCTACATTACCCAAGCTGCTCATGAACTCCTGCCTCCAAACAATTCTACTGCCTCAGCCTCCTGAGTAGCTGGGAATGCTGATAAACAACATCAAACCCAGCTTTGCTCAAATGTTAATAGCTTGTCTGATGAAGTGGCATCAGAGTAATAAAACTAATGATTATGAAAACTCTCATGGAAGCAGATAACAGTGAAAACTTAAGAGATAACAAATATTTGTCAGAAGAAAACAGCATCATTATCTTACCATTCCTTGCCTGCTAGCCCATCCTACTCCCATTTCTTCCCCTACCCCCACGCTACCCAAGGTTTAACACCAAAAGTCAATAACAGGTCAGAGAAAGAACCCAGGTCCCTTGGATTTTTATTTTTGCTGGCTGTTACAAACATTAAATGTTCAGTGTTTCACCAAACTGGTTGTCTTCTATATTTACCAAAATACCTTTTTATTCTCTGTATTTCTGTTCAGGTTAGCTGGGTTTTTTGGAGGAGTTGGGGGAGAGAGGTGCTATACTGGGGTCTGAATTTAGGGCCTTGTCCCAGCCAGGCAGGTACTCTACCTCTTAGGTCATGCACTCAGCCCTTTTCGCTTTAGTTATTTTTGGGTTAGAGTCTCATGTTTTTGCCTGGGCCCACATGGACTACAATCCTCCTCTTTACGCCTCCCTTGATGTGGGGGTAACTCACTTTTTTGCCCAGGTTGGCCTTTGACTGAAATCCTCCCAAGTATCTGGGATTACAGGCATAAGCCACTGTGCCCAGCACTGACTCCTCTTGTCAATGTAAGCTAAGGTATGTAAGAGGTTTCTATAGAGAGTCATGTCTATAAATATAAAGATACCAATACCTGATCAAATCTGGTAGCAAAGAGATTAAGTGAAGTCACTATGCCACCATTGGGTCCAAGTCCATATCTGGACACTCAGTTAAGGATTTAAATGGCATACGTTAGAATAAAGTTCTTACCTAGAATATTACTCACCAAAACAGCATTATATTAGTATTCCATTGATGGATATTGGCAACCTAGTCCTTGACAATTACACAACCTCAGGCTCATAGGAAATCATTCACTTACCATTTTTAGGGATGGCCAGACAAGAAGAAAGCAAAGTAACCAAAATTTAAAGATGTATCAGGCACTGACTGCCTGTTGGCCTTAGCTATTTAGATCATCTGCTTAACACTCCTTGCTGTGATCCTCAGTAATCAAACAACTGGCTGATGAGAATTAATCTTCTTTTCTAGATTTACCTATAGGGAGTCTACACATGTCACATAGCAATGTACTAAGAATTAATCCAACTAAGCATACTCTTGAGTTTCCCGCTCTGAAGAACAGTATTCAAGGAATGTATCTCTCCTTCGAGGTCATACCACCTTGCCAAACCCAGGCAACCTAGCCGGCCTCTCCTTTTCTCTTCTCTCTAGTTACAATATACCTCAGTCTGCAGATACATTAAGAAAACTGAGGGCTGGGATGTAGCTCGGTGGTACAGCGCTTGCCTAGCATGCGTGAGGCCCTGGGTTCGATCCCAGCACCAAAAAAGAAAAGACAAAAAAAAAAAAGAAAACTGAAATCATAAGTAAAAATGGTTATTTTTAAGCCTATCCTACATTCTTCCATCCTCTGAATAAAATTATTTTAAAGCAAACAATTCTTCTGTTTGTGCTTGTATATTACACAAAAACAGCTAAAATCACTCTCTCAAAGCCATAAAATACACACAGAAGCTAACCAGGAAGGAGTCAACACTGCAGTAGATGTGAAAAAGGATACTGTTTCATGACTTCTTTATACTTCACAGTGTCACGAATATCTGAGGGGAGGGGGAAGAATTAACTGGAGTTTACACATAAGATATAATGTAATTTGAAAATCAATACCTTTGATGTTAAGCCAACAGGCCTCTCAAGTCATTTCTGCTTCTTCTCCAGTGAAAAAAAACACAAGTTTCTCTCTTGGTATCTGAGTTACTTTCCACATTTATTTCCTAAACTTACAAGCTAAAATCATTGAAAAGTGATTAAAGAAAAAGTAAGACCATGAGGAGAAAGACTCAGTTTTTTCCCTGAATTTAGAATGAAAATTTTTTCATGAACTAGTCCCAAAATGATCTGATTCTTTCAAACAAGGCCCTCTTCCTTTTATTAGTATGTTTGGGGAACAAGAATTTTAGTAGGATTAACAAGTGAGAAGGAGGTAAAAGATCAGCACTCAGTGATGTCCTGGAAATCAGGAAGCCTGGAGCCTAGCAGAAATCCTAACACTGGATCACACCTATTCTTAACTTTTCTGATAGCCTCGATAAAGTCTGATGAAAATTGGGAACCCCTTCTCAGAACAATGCACAGAGGCATATATACACATTTTCCCATGGAACTTGGGAAGTATAAGCAACCTTCTTACAGATTAGTAAGTGAAGTATAGCAGAAGAACTTTTAAACTCCGACTCAACTTTGAGAAAAGAAACTAAATGTAAAAGGTTTATGTCAGAGTCAGCAGAGGGGTTTATGGCCTAGATGATTATGGAATGACTTCCCAATAATTCACTTTATCAAATTATTGGAATGACTTCCCAATAATTCACTTTATCAAATTATAACAGCCTAACACACTAGAGTCAGAAAGAGAGTAGAAACAAAGGAAAATGGAAAGGATACAAGCAAATTTAGGAACGTGGAGGGGCTGGGGGTATGCCTAAGTGCTAGAGCACTTGTCCAAAATGGGCAAGGCCCTGGATTCAATCCTGGGCACTATTAAAAAAAAAAAAAAAAAAAGTAAAGGAGAAAACGAAATAAGGAAGAAGCCTGTTTAGGGATTCACAAAGGTCTAAGGCTGTAGGCTTTCCATTCTCTGTGAGGCACTCCACACAAGCCCCAGGAGGTTCACTCACCAATATTGGCTGGAAAGGGGACTTCATGTACAGCTGGGTCCAAGTTGATCACATAAGGTGGAAAGCCTTGGTTATGCAGGTGTCCCGTGAGCCTCTGCAGAAATATAGGACGAGGGAGATTGTTCAAGGGATAGCAAAGGCACCAAAGAGAACTTATTCCTTTATCGACTATACCTGAACACTTTGGCGCTACTTGCTTCTACTTGAAATACCACCCAACAGGTCCAGGCTCAGCATTCAACTCTCGGTTCAAATGCTACTTTGCTTTAGCACCCAACTAACAAAGCCTTCTCTGTTCTTTACTTCTTTGCTCCCTTTTTACGCACATTGGGCTTTTTTTACTCGATCTCCTTCACTAAACACAACTCCACGAACGTGGGGATCTTGTCAATTTCATTTCCCGTTTTCCCAGCGGTTAGAACATAGTAGGCGCGCAAGAAATATTTTGTCAACTCCTCTCTAAAAACTTGTGTGCCTACAATGTATTCCTCTCGAGTTACTCACAAGCCTCGCCCTTCGAAAAACTAGCAATTTTATCAGCAAGCCAGTTTTAATACAATGTGGTAAGGTGCACCAAGCGTGCGCTGAGGGTGCGCAAATGCAGCCTTAAATGACCCAGGCTGGGGTCCCTGGCTTCCGGGAGCGACGAAGTGGAGCTGATGGTAAGTCCCCCAAAAAGCCTCCCTCTAAATCCTCAGAAACCTCCCTCCCATTAACCCTGGCCTTCTGACAGCCACAAGCAACTTCTCGCGCGTCCTGTGACGACTGCACGGTGGACGTCACCTGTACGAAGGTGGTTTTCCCAGATCCCGCCATTCCCAACACCAACAGACAAACAGAGGTCCGAGGACCCCCGGAAGCCTGCGGCTCAGCAGGACCCACGGGCGCCGCCATCTTTTCCAGAGTCCGGGGCCGCCTCACCATAAAGAGGCCACGCGGCTAGAGAGACCTTCTTGCGTTCTGGGCTGTGATTGGGCGGAGAACCTGGCCCGCCCACTGGCCTGTGATTGGGCGACGGCGGGGGCGGGGGCGGGGAAGATGGAGGGGCGGTGTGTACAGAGCGCATCTCCTGGTGGTCCTCAGGTTTATCCACTTGCTAGTGGTGTCAAGTCGTGGGCAAAGGACTTCAGCTCTTGGAACCTACTTTCTCTTTTTTAAAATTGAGTTTTTTGCAATAACAATAAAAACAGCATGTTACTGGCACAAAAACAGACATGAAGACCAGTGGAACAGAATAGAGGACCCAGATATGAAGCCACACAACTATAGCTAACTTGTCTTTGACAAAGGAGCTAAAAATATATGATGGAGAAATAGCAGCCTCTTCAACAAAAACTGCTGGGAAAACTGGTTAGCAGTCTGCAAAAAACTGAAACTAGATCCATGCATATCACCCTATACCAAGATTAACTCAAAATGGATCAAGGATCTTAATATCAGACCCCAAACTCTTAAGTTGATACAAGAAAGAGTAGGAAATACTCTGGAGTTAGTAGGTATAGGTAAGAACTTTCTCAATGAAACCCCAGCAGCACAGCAACTAAGAGATAGCATAGATAAATGGGACCTCATAAAACTAAAAAGCTTCTGTTCATCAAAAGAAATGGTCTCTAAACTGAAGAGAACACCCACAGAGTGGGAGAAAATATTTGCCAGCTACACATCAAAGGACTGATAACCAGAATATATAGGGAACTTAAAAAACTAAATTCTCCCAAAACTAATGAACCAATAAAGAAATGGGCAAGTGAACTAAACAGAACTTTCTCAAAAGAAGAAATTCAAATGGCCAAAAAACACATGAAAAAATGCTCACCATCTCTAGCAATAAAGGAAATGCAAATTAAAACCACGCTAAGATTCCACCTCACCCCTGTTAGAATAGCCATCATTAGCAACACCACCAACAATAGGTGTTATCGAGGATGCAGGGGAAAAAGGAACCCTCTTACACTGTTGGTGGGAATGTAAACTAGTACAACCACTCTGGAAAAAAATTGGAGGCTACTTAAAAAGCTAAACATTGATCTACCATTTGATCCAGCAATACCACTCTTGGGGATATACCCAAAAGACTGTGACACAGGTTACTCCAGAGGCACCTGCACACCCATGTTTATTGCGGCACTATTCACAATAGCCAAGTTACGGAAACAGCCAAGATGCCCCACTACTGATGAATGGATCAAGAAAATGTGGTATCTATACACAATGGAATTTTATGCAGCCATGAAGAAGAACGAAATGTTATCATTCACTAGTAAATGGATGGAATTGGAGAACATCATTCTGAGTGAGGTTAGCCTGGCCCAAAAGACCAAAAATCGTATGTTCTCCCTCATATGTGGACATTAGATCAAGGGCAAACACAACAAGGGGATTGGACTTTGAGCACATGATAAAAGCAAGTGCACGCAAGGGAGGGGTGAAGATAGGTAAGACACCTAAAAAATTAGCTAGCATTTGTTGCTCTTAATGCAGAGAAACTAAAGCAGATACCTTAAAAGCAACTGAGGCCAATAGGAAAAGGGGAATAGGAACTAGAGAAAAGGTTAGATCTAAAAGAATTGACCTAGAAGGTAACACACATGCACAGGAAATTAATGTGAGTCAACTCCCTGTATAGCTATCCTTATCTCAACCAGCAAAAAACCCTTGTTCCTTCCTATTATTGCTTATACTCTCTCTACAACAAAATTAGAGATAAGGGCAAAATAGTTTCTGCCGGGTATCGAGCGGGTGGGGGCGGAGGGGGTGGGTGGGTGGTAAGGGAGGGGGTGGGGGCAAGGGGGAGAAATGACCCAAGCCTTGTATGCACATATGAATAATAAAACAATTAAAAAAACCCAATACCACAGGGGGATAAAAGAAAACACAAAAAGGTAGGAGAAATTTATATTTTTTTATTGCTTTCAAAAACAATTTCAAACATACAAAAACACAGAAAGATACAATTCAGTACCTACATTAAATGTACAATGTAGGGGGTTTCATCATGTTATTTCTACACATGCAGGTGATAGACCTGTGTTCATATTCACCCCTTCTATTACTCTTTTTGGCATACCGGGACTTGAACTCAGGGCCTATACCTTGAGCCTCTCCACCAGAACTTTTTTGTGAAGGATTTTTTCAAGATATGGTCTCGTGAACTATTTGCCTAGGCTGGCTTCAAACCTTGATCCTCCTGATCTCTGCCTCCTGAGTAGCTAGGATTCCAGGTGTGAGCCACCAGCACCTGGCTTTATTACTGTTTCTTATACCTCTTCCTCCCTTCTTATCTTTCTTTCAGTGCTTTAAGTGGGCTTCATTATCACTTTTTCATATAAATTTTAAGATTGATTTGTCTGTGTCTGTGAAGAATGACTTGGGAATTGCATTGAATCTGTAGGTTGGTCTCCATAGTGTAGCCATTTCCACAATATTAATTCTGTTGATCCATGGATGTGAGAGGTCTTTTCATCTTCTAGTGTCTTCTTCAGTTTCTTCAGCATTTTATAGTTTTCACTAACAAGGTCTTATACCTCCTTAGTTAAGTTTATTCACAGGCATTTTATTTGTTTGAAACTATGAAAATGGGATTGTTTTCCTGATTTCTTTCTCCGCTTGCTCATTATTGGTATATAGAAAAGGTACTATATCCTGTTACCTTGCTGAAAGCATGTATCTGAGGGTTTTTTGGTGGAGTCTTTAGGGTCTTTTCAGTAGAGGATCGTATCATCTGCACATAGGGATAATTTGGCTTCTTCCTTTCCTATTTGTATCCCATTTATTTATTGGCAATACTGGGGTTTGAACTCAGGGCCTTGTGCTTGGTAGGCAGGTGCTCTACTACTTGAGCCACACTCCCAGCCCTTTTCACTTTAATCATTGTTCAAATAGGGTCTCACTTTTATGCCCAGGCCAGCCTGGACCACAATCTTCCTAGTTATGCTTCTCGCATAAATGGGATAACAAGCACACACTACCAAGGCCAGTTTGTAGTGGTTGAGATGAAGTTTTGCTGTTCACCCAGGCTAGCCTTGAACCCTGATCCTCTTGATCTCAGCCTTCAAGTTGCTGGAACTGTAGGTGTGAGCCACCACATCTGGCATTGTTTCCCTTCTAATTCTTTCTTTTTTAAAAAAAAGTCTTATTGCTCTGGCTAAAAATTCAAGGACTATTATTGAATGAGAGTGAAGAGGACATCCTTGTTGTCTTCATAACTTCAGAGGAACTATTCTCAAATGTTCCCCATTTAGTATGATGTTGGCAATAGGTTTGTTGTACATAGCCTTTATATGTTGAGGTATATTCCTTCTATTCCTAGTTTTGTCACTACTTTTATCACAAAAGGATGTTGAATTTTGTCAAAGCCTTTTTCTGCTTCTATTGAGATAATTGTGGTTTTTGTCCTCTCTCCTATGCATTGTATTTCATTTATTAATTTGTGTATGCTGAACCTGCTTGCATCCCTGGAATGAACCAACTTAATTGTGGTATATGGTTTTTTTAATGTGTTGTTATTTTGGTTTGCAAGAAATTTATTGAGAATTTTTGCATCTATGTTCTTCAGGGAAATTGGTCTACAGTGTTCTTTTGTTGTTTTGTCCATATCTGATTTTGGTATCAAGGTAATACTGAATTCATAGAATGAGTTTGGTAGTGTTCCTTCCCTTTCTAATTTATGGAATCGTTTCAGGAGCATCGTTGTTAGTTCTTCTTAAATGTCTGGGAAAATTCAGCAGTGATTCTATCTACTTTTGGGCTTTTCTTTTTGGGAAGACTATTACTGCTTTGGTCTCACTTGATATAGATCTGTTAAAGTGGTTTATATCCTCTTAGTTCAATTTTGATAGGTCATCTGCTTCTGGAAATTCATACATTTCTTCTAGATTTTCCAGTTTATTGGAGTATAAGTTTTTAACATATTTCTTAATGATTCTCTGAATTTCATTGGTTTTGTTGTCAGCTCTAATTTTATTAATTTGTCTTTTCTCCCTCTTTCTTTTGCTTAGTTTGGCTAAGGGTTTATGAAATTTTTTTGTCGATCTTGCGTATCATTTCAAAGAACCAACTCTTGGGCAGGAGTGGAGGAGGTGAGAGGAGGTAGAGCACATGCCTAGTAAGTGCAAAACCATGAATTCAAACCCCAGTACTGAGAAAGAAAACTCTTTGCTTTATTGATTCATTTTTTAATTTGTTTTTTTAATTTAAATTTATACTTGGATGTATTCCAGATATACCAGGCAGCTTATAATACATAAAATATAAGATAACACGGGAGATGTGGTAGGCACCTGCCTACCAAGCACAAAAGCCTTGAGTTCAAACTCCAGTAACACACACACACATGCACACACATACATGAAAGAAAATAACATAAATTAAAAGAGGGGAAAATGAGGATAGTTAACAAGGCAGGAGGCTTAAGAGTAGAGCCAGGATCAAGGCTAAGAATGTTCACCATGAAGAACCATAGGCCTGCTGGGTGGGTCATTTGACCCTGAGCATTCTAACATCCATGGATAAAAACAGAAAAATACATAAGAACTATAATTGTTTGTTAAGATCAAAGAAAAACTTTATCCAAGTGTTGTTGTAAAAAGAATAGTATATAATGTGAAGATTATCCCTGTAACAGACATGGTAAATTTCACAGGCACCATTTTTGCTAATGACCTTCAAGTATAGAGGGCTGTTGTCCTGCCAAGCACAGTTGGGTTAAGGTTGATGTGTGGAGCCCATAGGTGCTGTTCAGTGCATCTGTGCTGTGTGGTAAGTGCTGCTGCTGTTTATGATACTATGTCTTCTATTCCCCTAACTGAATACCACTGGCTTTTTCCATTGCACTGTTGCTCTTTGCTTCTGTTGGACTCCTCAGAAACCCTGCTTCTTTCCTTTATTGTTAATTTCTTCTAGTCCATCCCTAGGTCTGGGGATACTTACACTAGCAATAAAAGTTTTTAC